ACGTGCAGCCAGAGCAGAGCAGCCTTCCCCACTCCACTCTTGCCGGAGAGGAAGATTTTATAGTGAACGGTGTCCACGGCTACATGTGGGGGCATCACCGGAGACTCCAACAGGCCTGTAAAATCATTTATAAAAGAAACATCTAAATACTTACATTTGTAAGATACTGATATTCCTACTTTTAAAGTGTATTTATTATACGTACATACATGGATCAATAATTGTGTTATGTTGCAGGTTTATGTCCATTTGTTTACTTTCACTGTTGAATTGGTGTGTCACTTTTTGTATAATTCCACAGGACAGCATGTACGTTTTGTCTTCTGGTTTTGAGTGATAAAGTTCATATGCCAAATAAAATAGTAGGCTACACTTCAGCACTTTTTAGTGTGTCTTGTAACATCCTTTTTGAAGTGTTTTATTCTTTTTTCCTTCTGCTTGCCCGGTAATTCAAACATTAATGTGTACTTTGTTGTTGCATTGTATTATTAACACTTCATGGACACCTTATTTTGGTAGCCAGTGTAGATTTAAAAAAGAGAAGGCAACTGTATCTGCCAGCCACTTTGTTAGATTGTACACCTCATTTGTTTAGTATGAAATGATAATGATTGTATCTGGTTATGTCTGTAACATGTCAGACAGCATGTATTTTCTTGGTCACAAAAATGTACTGTAGAAATAATTCCTTGTGTTGTATAATCAAACGCTGGTTACACAAATGGCATGCTGCTTTAAAAAAACAAAACAGATTTCAACTAAAATGCTAAAGTTTATTTGTCCTACCGAAGTTTTTGCGCCTCTTCTTGTGCAGTATTTTGCTGAAATATTCTTTGCTGTCTTTACACCAATGCCAGTCTGCCACAATGATTGATCCGGAGGAAGGAGAAACGTGTGCCATGTTGTTGCTGCTGCTGCTAGAGTTAGCATCACATTGCTATGTTCAGTTTATCATCCAGAAAGGACGAACTGTAGCGGAACAAGACAACTCGTGAAACCGGAGATGCTATCAAAGAAATGTAAACAGTCTTTTCTCACAACGAAGTGCTTTAAAACTTGCAAGTAGAGCCGACAAAACAACATGTTTTAATCTTAAAGTGCAGCCAATCAATTAGAACTTCCGTAAACTAAAACATCCCTTGACAACCGCTTGACGTCACTTCCGTTCCCCATGTAGTTTAGGATGTCTCCTTTAGGTGCTTCGATAAATCGTGTCTTTGGGCTTTATCTGCCACTAACATAAATACAAAATAAAGAGTCGTGCCTTAAACAAAGCAGGCACTGCTTTTGAGTATGCTTAAGGTTAACCTCATAACGTTTTTGCAGACCTTAAAGGATAATTAATAAATGTTACGCTGCATGAAACATTAAATAAAGTTTTTTTTATCAACACAGTTTTTACATGTTTACACACCAAGAAATGCTGGCAAGACTTTTTGAATATTCGTCATTTAGTGTTCGGGTTTCTACAAAAACCATGACAAAAACTCAACAAAAAAAATTAGACAGTTGTGTTTTAATTATAAATTTGATAAAGTTGTTGGCAACATTTTTCATTCATATTTTTGTTTTTTTCCCCTGAAAGATGTTGATGTAAAAATGTTGATCAAGACCCTTTTCATAAATCTTTATTTCTTTTATGTTTTGCCTTTTTTTGGTCATATCAACTATATAGACTGACTTTGTATTACTTTTTTTGGTTAATAATTTAAACATAGGATGAGATAGATAGTTAAGATAAAATAATATATACTTAATTAATCCTAAATTGGGAACATTTTTAAATTTCCCAATTTGGGATTAATAAGGTTGTTTTGCAGCAGACATGTTGATACAATTAACAAATGTTGTGCGCATTTATTTCAACCGTCATTGACATGTTTGACCTACATGGTTGTATCGCTTAAGAGTATCATTGAAAATCACTCTTTTTTTATAATTGAGTGCATTGACCAGTATTAGCAGAGGTGGGAGTAAGTCCTACATGTGCAAGTCATGAGCAAGTCTCAAGTCTTGACCTACAAGTATCAAGCAAGTCCCAAGTCACTGTGGTGAGAGTCAAGCAAGTCAAGTCAAGTCATTGCTCAGGTCAAGTCAAGTCAAGTCAAGTCATACGAAATTCTGATGAATAAGCCCAGTTTCCGCATTTAAATCAGTTAAAAGACAGTGGTTATGAAAATGGATTTAACCCACACTATGATCTTCATTACATACACAGTTAATCATTTGAAATCTAATTTAGACCGATGACAATCATATTAGATTAATATTAACCCTAGAACTGCAGACAATATAGCTAGGATTTAAAACTCAGTTCATTGGGTTAATTTTGAAATTGCTTCAGTTTATCATCATAACAGATCAAAAAGTTCAGATTCATTTTACAATAAATCAAGGAATTATGCACTTCTACAAACAAAAACAACATAATTAAAACATTTAAACAAACTACTAAAAGTAGATGAACTACATTATTCAAAAGTTTACAGTAACTTCTGATAATAACACAGGGGAAATAAACGAGGCATCTCTTTTCCTCTCTCTCTCTCCCTCTCCTGACAGCCCGTCAGTATCGGGGTTAGTACAAATGAATCCCTTGGCGGTTCTAGTGTTCATTTACTGTTTTGTCTTCTCTTTGTAATGCTTAATCGATTTGAAACCAAGTCTAACGTAACTTAAACTTAACGTTAGCTTTCTAGCTAACACAACACATTAACTTACCTTTCTCTGGGTTTGTTTTTGTAGTGACGAATGAAGTTGGATGTTGTGGTGGTCGTGTCACTGATCTTTATGCTGCAGACCCTGCATACCGCTGTTCTCTTCTTATTAGCATCATCGACAACATAATCCTTGAATCCAAACTTGACTATTTGTGGAGTAACGCTAGCCGCTGCCATGTTAACTGACACTCCTGCGGTCTAGTGGGTTGCCAGGTTTGCGCGCACACACGGCGCTATAATCACCCAATCACATTTTTCGAAAAAACTAAACGTAATATCTCACTACAAAAACAAACGCAAATATTTAATTTTAAACAGTCAAGTCCTTTCAAGTCATCTGTCTCAAGCTTAAGTCAAGTCTCAAGTCATGAATACCAAGTCAAAGTCAAGTCAAGTCTTTTATCAATGTTAGTCAAGCAAGTCTCAAGTCAAAAAATATGCGACTCGAGTCTGACTCGAGTCAAGTCATGTGACTCGAGTCCCCACCTCTGAGTATTAGGGATCTTTAATATGTTCAGTAGTACTTCTCGTCCACCACCAGAGTTCACTAAACTCCAGCGTTGAGACGTTAAACACAGGGAGGAGATGAAAACAGTCTGTGAGCTCTGACAGTCAGGGCCCCGCTGCTCTCCATGCTCATGGTCACAGATATCTGGGGTCCACACTCAATGGCAGTTTGCATCGATGGCAGAAAGTGTGTGTGACTGCAGTCACTGCACCATCTTCTCCCAGCTGCAGAGAGAATGAGGACAGAAATTAATGAGTTGTACTCAAACCATTGTTTAATTTTACACATTTCTTTAATCATATCTCTTAAGTATGAGAGGCTTATGCTTCTAAATTGAAATGTATTAACATTATTTTCCTATTTCAAATGTACATGGCCAAACAAAAAGGATTTAAAATTTGGAGATGTTCTGTAGCCCATTTCCAGTAATCCATTGCATTAAAGCCATTATTTTAACTTTATTATTTTTGAATTAATCTTGATCAGCATGTATTAAGCCTTAAAAGAACAATCTACAGTGCAATACAAAATACTTGAATGACCTTACATATATCAAACAACTGTTTAGTGGACACATGAACAGGTCTGTTATTTACCTAGCTAGGCCGACTGTGTGGCTCACCTTCTCCGCTTCCACCTTTATCCGGTTGTTCGAAGTTGTGATGACAACATCTTCTGGAGAAAATCCACTCACATCGAGGGTGAACTGGAAAAGGTCTCCCATGACCTGGATCTTCCCTGTTGGATATGAGTGCCCTAAAACAAAACACAATAATTACTAACAACAGCAATCTAACAATTACTCATCTTATTAAAAACCAGGTGAATCAAACATACAATATAAAAAGGGCAAAAAAGTAGTACAAATATTATCAGTCTTTGTTTATCAGACCTGTTGTTGTTTCTATAGGTCTGCTGAGAGCCTCCATCTTTCTCTATGAAGCTCAGCGCAAGTTCTTTCAGGAAGACTGGGTATATACCCATTCAGGTCATTCCAAAATTGGAGGACATTTCATGTCCCACATATAAAAAATCAAATAGTCCATGCCCAAAAAGCTAAAACATGCACTTGTGTATGTTAAGTAATGTAGCCATTCAACCCTTATGCAACCCTGTTACTCTAATTTCAACCCTGTTACTGTATCATTTTCTATTCAAATAATCAAATTAAACCAGTTTTATCCAAAAACGACATGAAGATTTAATGTAAATGTGACTTTCTTTACTTAAAGGTGGGGTAGGTACGGTATTTGTTCTTTCTACAGTTAAAAAGCATTTCCATGTGTAGATTATAAACCTGTTCGTTGTAGCTCCTGTTTAGAAATTCCTTTTTATTTTGTGTCAAACACAGTTTGTGTTCATGCCCTTTTAAAAACACCCATTTTCATTTTGTAATCTGTTAAGATATTGTCATGTCGGTGCATCATATATCAAGGATGGATTTGAATGCCTTTATTTGGGTCAATTGATCAATGAAAAAAGTTAAGAATCTGAATTTCCCAGAGCACTGATGTTGAAAAATTGCTAGATTTGTTCAGAAAACTGTCTGAAACTGAAAAAAAGGACAAACATTCAACCACTTATTCAGATTTGAACTAGTTTGTATTGAACTGGGACACAGCTAGAGATCACATCCCTCAGTGTGCACGCATAGACGTGTGCACGCAATGTTACCATGGCAACCAGTTATCAACAGGCAGCTTTTGATGCCGCGTTAGCTGTATCAGCACACATTAAAACTAGGGTAGTGAAATAACTTTCTGTCGGTCAGAATGTCTGGGGCTCACGCAGAGAGCGTGATTAAAAACATTATCCGTGAGATAGTGCAGCAGTGTGCCGCGAGAGGGCACGCGGTGTCGGACACTCTGGTGGCTTTCATGGTCAGTAAAGTGTTTACTTACATGCTAGTCAAGTTAGCTACCGAGAGTTAGCTTTACCAGTGACGTCAGCCAACGCCTGCTGTATGTTAATGCTTTAGTACCTTAAGTTAGTACTTACTTACACATTGTAAGCAGTAACGTCAGTAGCGGCTCCAGAGTATTTTTGTTGGGTAATCTATGGTAGGGCTAACCCATACAGTGGTGGGGCTCAAGTCAGTATTTGCAATGTAATTACATACACCCTTGACAGTGAAACGCCACGCGTGAGGTTTAGATTATTTCCCTGTCTCAATCCAAATTGAACTGTATGAAATAAAAAGGCACATTTGTCTTGTAGTAAATAAAAAGGGCGACCTGGAGCCAATCCTGCAATTTCCCCACAGGTGAAAGAGTTGACATGCTGAAAACCCAACCCCTGCAGGGGGGTCTGGGGGGATTCTCCCCCAGGAGATTTTTTGAAATACTAATGTACACTAACATAAAATACACATTCTGGTACTCTCTTGAGAAGAAAATAAATAAATCTATTACTACAGATTTAATCTTTCCAGATCTTCAAAGACTTTGTAGTCGATGTACTGGGAAAAGTACCTCATTGACTCCAGTCGGCACGGGCTGTAGAGTCATCTTGACTAGTTTTATGGATGTGGTCTCCACTTGACCATGCTCATAGAAACAAAGCTTGCATTCCTGAGGCAATTCTCATTTTTCATGGCTCCACTTAAAATAAAAACAACATTAAGACATGCGTCTTACTCTGGGCCCACAGAGGGCCAAGTCTTTCCTGCTCGTCCCTGTCTGTCTATATATCTATATATATATATGGGTATATATATTGTTTATGACTATGAGATAATGTTGTCGCGTCAAGTAGCATTTTACTCTTGTAGACAAACAAAGTTCTATAACAAAAAAATATTGACTTTTTTAAATATTTAGGATAGTTTTACAAATTCGTACCTTACACAGTTAGTCCGCTTGTGGATTCTTTTAGAGATGCATTATGTAAAAGTTCTGAAAGGTAGCTAACGTTTTTAAATTAAATGTAGTGGAGTAATAGAAATATATTTTACCCCCCCCCCAAGCAGTAAACCTAGGGGAAACTCTGAAAGTACTTCAAAAATGTACTTAAGTAAAGTATTTGAGTAAATGTACTTTTCACAACTGCCTGTAAGGATATAATGTCTTTAAACGCTCCTCTTTATCCTAGCCTGGCCCATAGGTGACTCTTTACTCCAAACTGAAAACGTTCTTTTCTTCTTCTTTGAGGTGAAAGCTGTTGTGCTGGACCCAAGGAATGGTTTCAATGTCGATCGAACACTGACCAAACAAGATGTCCAGAAACTGGAAGAGGTGAGATACTAAACTGGACTTAACTCCGACAGCCCCATTTGAGTTGGTAACATGGTTGGGAGGGTCACTTTAAACATGTATTCTGTTACAATGACTAGTTACCTGTGATCTGAGTATCACAATATACTCACATAAAAGCTATGTCATCTGACCTTACGTCTCCAAGAGAAAATATATATCAATAAGATGTTTTTTCATAGTGTTATTATGTAAGACAAGAGAACAATGTGAACAAGTGAAGTGTTTACCAGCCGTCTCCACACTGCCAGGTAGAACATGATGCTGTTCTCAGGGCTGGAAGCAACCGTTTCAACATACTTTCATGTGTTTCTAATATTCATCTGCAATATATCCTGCAGCTGTGTCTGGGTAAACTGATGGAAGAGTGCAGCCCGTCCCTAGACACAATCAAAATGCAAGTGTTCTTCGACATGAATTACACCTCCCGGCGTAAGTGTTACCCACGACATTACAAACTGATGCCATCTTTGTCATTATGAATTGAGTTTCTGGTGCATGGGTTGATCCTTTTAAAAAGTAATGATAATGATCAATTCATTTTTGGGATTATTTGTTTGATTAGTCTATATCTGAAATGAGGGAGAAATGCCCAACCAACATTACAAATCCCAATAAAACAGCAAACAGAGATAATATTTATCTTTGTCTTTAATAAATGACTTAAACAATACATTTATTATCAAAATGGTTGCTGCTGATAGATCTTCGGTTAATTCTACCACTCGTTTGTAAGCGTGAAGAGCATTATATGTTTTTCACTTCTGTATGCAGGTTGGTTGAACCATGCTGAAATCAAAAATCTAAATATGACCAAATCACCCTGATGTAAATCCTGCTGCCTCACTTTATACCTAAGCATATTTCCTTTGAAGTGATGCACTCTGTAAAGAACTGTCTAGATGTCAAAACCACATTTATTTTTATTTATAATCGGTCAAGACTTTTATATTTTGAACAGGTATTACAAGCACATAGCTTAAACATGATCATTACATTCAGTGTATTGTTCCAGGTACAGCTCAGATTTGATTTATGCTTAGGTTGCAGACACTGAATGTTTGATAGACGCCTTTATTTGGTCATGTTTGGTTTATAGAAATGTCTTCATCAATAAGCTGTGGACAGGCTTCTGACTGTAGAAAGATCTGCCTAAGGGGAGCATACGTATAACAAATGTTTTTTTCCCCGAATGGCTTTAGCTTGGAAATAATTAGATTTCTTTATTCTTAACTCTTAAAGATGAACCCCCGGACTAAGCAGGTACTTGTGTTTGTGCAGGAGAGTTTCTAGAGGAGATCCACCGGGTGCTGGAGTCCAGGCTGAGCTCAGTGAGCAGAGAGATCACTGACAGCAGAGTGAAAACACGAGAGGAATTTGACGCCTTGTATTGTAAAATCATCACGTACATCCAGCTGCGCTCCGGCATGGGCTCACCTACAGATGACACCGCCCTGAAAGAGGCTACAGGTTTCACTTCCCAAAGTCTTTTCAGTTTCTGGGGAACTATTGGCAGTTAAAGTGCAGTGACAGCGTAACACCTTGCTGGAATGCAGGCTAAAGGGCGGTGCCACTTAAAAAAGAATTAACAAACGATGTTTCAGTCGATTAACCAGAGGAGGGAGAAGTACTCAGATCTTGTACTTGAGTAAAAGTAGAAGTACCAGAGTGTAGGAATACTTTGTTACGAGTAAAGGTCCTGCATTCAAAATGTTACTCAAATAATAGTTAAGAAGTATTAGTATCAAAATATACTTAAAGTACCAAAAGTAAAGAACTTATTGTGCAGATTGGTCCATTTCAGAATAATATGATATGTTCTGATTATAATGATTGATCATTTAAGTGTTATCAAAACTGGTAAAGGTGCAGCTAGTTTTAATGACTTTGATTTTTTGTGATCAAAAGGCAGAAACACAGAACAACATGGTACAACACACAAACATACTGTACCACGTGAAAGAACATACATACAGCTCCCTTACAAAACAAACAAAAACATAATTAGACAAAAAAGAAAGAAATAAACCCACCAATAGGCAATGAGTAGCATTAAATGACATACACAAGCAAAATACTGTAAGTAGACATAGGAATCACAGCCGACTTTTCAAAGCCGCCGCCGCCCTGCAACCCACACACTCAGACCATCCTCTCTCACCCCACTGATACGAGCTGTTATCAGTACGCACTTTGAGTTGCTCTCAGCTTTATAATCAAGCGTTGCCTTGTAAACAATAAATGGCATGCTCGTGTTTAAATGTTGAATATTTGACAAAAGGTGACTTGCCAGCTTTTCAGGCTGATTTGAGTGTATCCTGACTCTGAGTGTTGTGTTCCAGCCGCCTTGCAGAGCGTCTTCCCTCAGACTGAGCTGGGAGCCTTCATCGTCCTCCTGAAGAGAGACAAGGAGCAGCAGCTCAGAGAGCTCACCATGATCGTCACAGGGATCAGACTGTTCAACAAAGCCAGCAAGAAGGGAGGCGAGGAGACTGACCTCCAGGAACTGAGTATAGTACACCATGCTACACACAAAAATACCTGTTATCACCGACAATGTTATTCAGGGGGGGGGGGGGTGGGGGTGCTAGTGGAGCCCGCGCGTGAACTGGGAGCACCGGAGCCTTGCTGCGGCGAAACTGTGGCACGCTTAATTGCGCCGCATTTGCGCATCAGATGAGCCTCCCTCCGCAAGGTGAGGCCCCCTCCGCGAGGTGAGGCCCCCTCTGCGAGGTGAGGCCCCCTCCGCAAGATGAGGTCCCCTCCGCGAGGTGAGGCCCCCTCCGCAAGATGAGGTCCCCTCCGCGAAGTGAGGCCCCTCCGCGAGGTGAGGCCCCTCCGCGAGGTGAGGGCCCCTCTGCGAGGTGAGGGCCCACGCAAGTATCTTGCCCAAAGGACTCTTCAAAGTCAAAATCAACTTATTTATCAATAATTAAACAAGAAGACCGAAATGCCTCTTCTCAGCGTCCCAAAGATTAAAATATATAAAAATATATACATATATGTATATATACATACACACAAAAAAAAAAATGCACATTGATTAATACATAGAAATAGCAGTCTGGTATATTAAAACAGATGAGTATATGACAGTGAATGAGTATATGAAAAGCAGTACAAATATATATACAAGTAGTCACTTTGACATGTTGAAGGACGAAGTTCAAATCTGAGCCCCAAGTGTTGATTCAAAAGATCTTACCAAATGAACACATCTTAAGTGAATCAGAAAGGTCCATACCTCATCCTTTAGTTGTCTACGATTTTTGGAATCCAGACCATAGAAGTGTTATGTTTCATCAAGAATAAGTTAGCTTTTTATTTTGTGTCATCAGTCTAGGTTATTTTCTCTGCTATGTCAATACTGCGTTTGGTAATTATAGTACCTCCTTTTCTTTCTCTCCTCAGTGCCTTCCATTCTTAATGAAGCTCTTCCAGTCACCAGTAAGAGCATAGAAAAGGAGCTGAGTGTGTCACAGACTCTGGCGTGGAGATACACCTCCGTGCTGGAGAAGGAGTCTGACAGTCAGCCTGCAGAATGTGACCCCCCCGCCGTCCTGCTCAAACAGGCTCTCTACAACGTCCGGCAGCATGAAGTCTTTCTCAAAATGTTACTGGTGAGAAAACATTAAAAAACGCTTTGTATCAATGTGGCATTTTAATTTATCGAGCTTACATTCATTACAATTATTCTGTCAATGAATATGATGAACAGCCATTTTTTGCAGCTTATTAAGTAAAAGAAGTAATTTGTTACATCTCGGAGTAGCATGTATAGTAAACAAATCAATTGTTTCCCTTTACCAACAGGCTGATGCATGTTTATGTGCCAAGCATGTAGAAATGCTGCAGACTGCACTCTCGTCACAAATGAAGCTGCTGAAAGAAACCATACAGGCAAAGACAGCTGTACCCACTGCAAATGTTTTTGTAAGTGTCTTGGTCTTGAAACTTAACACTTCAAATAACTTAAAGTGGAAAAATGTTCATAAAATGTATGGACATGTGCTGCAGTACCTCTTTTCACCCTCTGTCTGAAACCAGAGCCCAGTCTGCTCTGATTGGTTAGCTGGCCGGCTCTGTTGTGATTGGTCAACCGCTTAGAAATGTCCCGCCCCTTAACATATCACGTACAATGTGTTGAAGCGCTAGCCAATAGAAGCGCTACTGTTGCATAGGGATGTCACTCTGTTACAGAAGTAAACAAAAGAGTCAAATGGAGCTGTTTCAGGCACGGGGGGGGGGGGCTTTGCAGACCATTTACACACAATAGAACACACTACAGGAGAGGGAAACCCCCAAAAGCACAATAGAGCCTCTCTAACTTATTTTGTTTTAGCAGAAAGTTGATATTATGTTTTATATTGTTCATTCTGTAGATATTTGATCATATTTTAAACCCACGCCTTGTTAACATTCTGCTGTAACAAAACCATTTCCCACTTTTGGATCAATAAAGTATATCTAATGTAATTTTCTGTCACGTCTTGTTATATTATGTCTTACCCATTTCTGTCCTTGCTCATGTCTTCCAGCCGCGCTTTAAGTCCCTGTCAGAGCTGTGGTCTGCGCTGCAGGATGAGGCTCAGCTGCTGAACATCCTCAGGAGCATCCTGCTCAGCCTGCAGCCCTTCACTGCCTCTCAGGCCAAGATCTTCTCTGAGGCATGTGTGGACGGCCTGCTGGAGGCGGCAGAGGTGAAGACAGACCAACAGAGAATGGCTGAGTCGGCAGGTAAATAACAGTTATAGTATACCTGCCTCTAAGGCTCTGGTTCCCAAACTATGGTTCCTGCTCCCACTAGAGGCCCCTAAAACGTTGACAGGTTGTCGTGAGGCCTTTTGGATTAGAAGAATTGTAATATCTCATTCATTTGTGTGAAGAAAACTGAATGAAATTGTTATTAGGATAAGTATTTAACATTTAAACTGAAGATGAAGATCTGAACACAGTGTAAACACTTAATTTGTCATAAAAAGTATATTAATGATGATGAACAAGGAACATAACACAGACAGAGAATTGTAATAGTACATCCTAAAAAATAACAGGACATCTTGTCTATGATGCAGTGTGATGCAAACAGGAAATAATGTGCTCAAAGTGTGTCCAAATCACTAGATTTACACAACTTCCTTCAGTTATTTATTACTTTGAATATCACTGCCCCCACTATCAGTTGTTCTGTACTGATACTATTATGCACTTATTATAATATGAAATATGTATGAAATATTCTTACAAACCTGAGAGACAAACATCTCTGAACCATGTTTAAGTTAGTGCTGATCTTAAATGCATTTGTTTTCCTTGTTATTTTCCTTTGTTGTTGTTATATCTTGTTTTAACAATTACTTGTATCATTTTTATTTTTAATTATATGATCCTTATGTGAACTCTTATCTGTACTGTCCTGTATTTCACTCTTACTCTGTTGCTGCTTTAACTACTGAATTTCCCTACAGGCATCAATAAAGGTCCATCTTATCTTATCTTATCTTATCTTATCTTATCTTATCTTATCTTATCTTATCTTATCTTATCTTATCTTGTGTATTCCAGATGAGCGTATAGTCCCAGCTGAGATGAACACACAGGAGTGGCTCCTGCCTGAAACCACAGCCAGCTTTGATGAGCTGCCGCTGCAGTATAACGGAGTCTGTGGCTACTCTCTAGTGACCAGAGACGGGCTGCTACTCCCAGGTACTGTTCTCATGATACACCAGTGTGTAAGGAATATATGGATGTTGTCCAGTCTCTCCACGGCATTCATTGTGTTGCATTCGCTTTAACTCAAGATGTGATTTTAGACGCAAAAGAACAATTCTAACTTTGCCTACTTTCACACTTTCGCACATCTGGCCAATGTTTACATGAAGTGGACCTGATTGTTAAAATGTCTGTTTTTGTCATGTTCCTAGTTTTTTTGGTTGTTATTTTTATTTTTGTTTAACTTTGCCTGCCCCTGCAGTTTTTGTGTTTTTTAACAGCTTTTTATTTTAAAGGTCCCATGTCATGCTTTTCTGGTTATTACCCATCCCCTTGTGTGTTATGAAGGGTTTGGGGGTGCTAGTAGAGCTACCAGCGGCGAAACTGTGGCGCGCTTACACTGTAGGTGCGCCGCGTTTGGGGGTGCGGGTGCTAGTGGAGCCTCGCAGATGGGGGTGCTGCAGCCCCCCTCAGCACCCCCATCTTATCTTTGAAGGGTTACGCACCGTTTATGTAACTGTCTGTTCTTGAAGCCTGTGTCTCATCATTGACTCCTCTGTTGCAGGTTACCCACACATCGGAATCTTTAATCACAAGGAGAAGCTCTATGTGTTTAGCTCCAAAGAAGCAGCATTAAGATTTGCCTCCAGTCCGGGGGACTTCATTGCAGAGGTAGCAGAGAAAGCCAAGCTCTCCCCTGAACTCATCCAGCTCCTCCAACTCCACCGACAGTTCTCCTGCGTCAGTCCTTACTCAGAGGTCAGCAGCCTTCAAGCACTCTCAATGCACACACTCATTTATTCTGTTTATGTACATATGTGACATATTGCCAAGTATATTTGTCTCATTTCTAGTCAGAATATGTCTTTACACCTGATATCAGACATAATAATGTAAGAAGTAACATTGCAGTGAGATATAGGGTCTTGTTTTAGATGTCAAAAGGTTTTTAAGCTGCTGTGGTATTTGTAAAAGATGGATCACCTTGTTTCAAAAATAAATCTTACTTGATTTAAAAAACCACATTTTTATTGGAAATCCACCAACTAACATCATATGGCAGAACACTGCATTTCTGGCTAATTTTGTAACGACATTTCCTGATTCTGGTCAAATATAGTTCAAAATAAGTTTCCCCAGGTAATTGCAAGATCTGATTTATATACATATTAGGGCTGTCACGTTAACGCATTAATGCAATTATTTTTTAACGCCACTAATTATTTTAACGTGCGATTAACGCATGTGTATTTGTCCTCGGCCCGCCCCGTAGTTTCAGAGCCCAAAGGCTTGACGTTGTTGTTGTTGTTGTTGTTAGTTGGATGGTGGGAGATTCTAGCGAGAGATATGGATACAAAAAGAGCTGAAGTTACCTACTGTAACTCCAGCTTCTATGAGTATTGGCGTAGCCCTCTAAGGCTATCGCTATTGGGTAATCCCCTGCGCACCCGCGCAGCACTGAAACACTTGTAGTCCACGCCCGCCCGCAAGGTGGGCCCCACCCTCGGGCTCCCTTCCGGTATAAATAGGAAGGAGGCCCGACAATCTGCTCCCACACAAAAGAACTTTTCTTCAGCTATTCGTGGGGCCCAGAACTTAGAGGGCTACGCCAATACTCATAGAAGCTGGAGTTACAGTAGGTAACTTCAGTTCTATTTCGTATATGGCTTCGCCCTCTAAGGCTATTGCTATTGGGTTAAGGGCGAAGCAAGATGTAGTCTGCGCCCCACTGGGTCGCCCCGGTACAAGAAGCACAACCACACCTGCTCAGATAATAACCCATGCCTATTGCGCCAAGCGAATGGCGCATCACAGTCCCTGGAATATATCATAACATGAATATTTACCATGAGAGGACGAAGGCTGGGAATAATACATACCCGTCCGCTGTGAGAAAGTAGAGACGAAAGTCACACTTTGCCCAGTGACAGAAGGAGGGGGAATAGCAGCTCTCTGCGTGCAGACAGGCAGGAGAGCACACAGCTGGGTCCCCAACATCACACACTCTGACAAGACATTCCGTACGAAATGTGTCAGGGGAAAAAAGGGGGACGTCCCTCTCATAAGAGGGAAATACAGGCCACTCTCCGTGTGCCGAGGCAGGAGAGAGGCGCACAGCTGGATCCCTGACGTCACTCACTCTGACAGGACACTCAGCACAGGGTGTGTCAGAGAGGAATGGGAGACATCCCTCAAATAAAATTGAATAAATGAACAGGGAGAAGACCAAGAAGCAGCAGTGCAAATTTCTTCCACTGACATTCCTCCGTGCAAAGCCGTGGAGGAGGAAACATTCCTCTGGCTTTGAGGAGGGGGAAAGAAGCCAGCCAGGGTGATCACTCTTGACCTAAAAAAGTTTGTGATGACCTTAGCCTTAGGCATGAAGCCGGTTTAGCATAAACGGCTGTCCTCCCTGGCGATTGAGGTAGGCTGCCGTGGCCTGTTGGCTGGGCGAATCAACACATGTTTGATTGTACAGCAACGGGGCGAAGTGCTGGAATACTTCCCAACCCGGAGAACAGCTCCAGCACATTTACCCCTGACGCACGGGGTCGGTGCGTGGGCGAATGAACCACCTCTGGAGACCCCTCCTGTGGGGGAGACCCCGGGGAATCCCCACGTGATCAGCTGACGTCATGCTGAGCAGCTGTATCACGGAGAGGGCTGTCACCACGCTGTGGGATGTGACACGCTGGATAGGGAGCTGTCAGTTCCTCCACTCGCTGCAGCGAGAGCCGCACTCTGTTGCTGAGTTTTATTCCACTCGCAGATAAATGAATGTCTGGGGGGGAAGAGGACAGCTCGAGCGAGCTATGCAGTTTATAAACCAATAGGTTGAAACAGCAGGCTTCTGCAGCGAATGACCCACCTCTGGAGTCTCCTCCTGTGGGGGAGACCCATGGGGATCTTTGAGCTTTGACAGATGCGATACGAGATGTAACGTCTGTAAAGCGACTTCCTCATGCTGGATCGAGCCAGCAAATAGCAAGGTCGTCCAGAGAAAAAACTTCATTCTCATCCCTCCTCTCTGTGTAGTGGCTCCAGCCTTCTCTACACAAAATGCGAGGAGCCAGGGAACATCCAAACAGCAGACGATTGTCTGGTCTGATATTCCCTGAAAAGAGAAACGCAGGAATTCCCTGTGTTTCGGGATGGTGGGTATGGAAGTATATGCATCATCCTTCAGGTGGAAGTGAACCAGTCGTCCTGGTGAACACATTCCAGCACCTGTTTGATCGTCAGCATGGGAATACTGACAGATCAAGGATGGGTCTCACTCCCCCGTTGGAGAGGCTTCTCTGTGATATGCTGTAATGGTCGTCATGACCGTGCTCTGTAGGAGGCATATCTGGGACAGAGGAATGCCGCGAGCTATGCAGTTTATAACCCAATAGGTTAAAACAGCAGGCTTCTGCAGCGAATGACCCACCTCTGGAGTCTCCTCCTGTGGGGGAGACCCATGGGGATCACCGCGTGACCAGCTGATGCGAATGCCAAGCAGCTGCGTCACGGAGAGGGCTGTGCGGGTTTTAGACACGCCGGAGGAGATCTCGCTGCAGTTCCTCCACTCGCTGCCGCAAGAGCCGCGCTCTGCTGGCTGAGTTTAATTCCACTCCCAGATAAATGAATGTCTGAGAGGGGAGAGGGCAGCTTTTCTCCAAATTCATTATGAAACCCAGGCTTTGACAGATGCGATACGAGATCTAACGTCTGTAAAGCGACTTCCTCATGCTGGATCGAGCCTATAGCAAATAGCAGGTCGTCCAGAGAAAAAACCTCATTCTCATCCCTCCTCTCTGTGTAGTGGCTCCAGCCTTCTCTACACAAAAATGCGAGGAGCCAGGGAACATCCAAACAGCAGACGATTGTCTGGTCTGATATTCCCTGAAAAGAGAAACGCAGGAATTTCCTGTGTTTCGGGATGGTGGGTATGGAAGTATATGCATCATCCTTCAGGTGGAAGTGAACCAGTCGTCCTGGTGAACACATTCCAGCACCTGTTTGATCGTCAGCATGGGAATACTGACAGATCAAGGATGGATCTCACTCCCCCGTTGGAGAGGCTTCTCTGTGATATGCTGTAATGGTCGTCATGACCGTGCTCTGTAGGAGGCATATCTGGGACAGAGGAATGCCGCGAGCTATGCAGTTTATAAACCAATAGGTTAAAACAGCAGGCTTCTGCAGCGAATGACCCATCACCTCTGGAGTCTCCTCCTGTGGGGGAGACCCATGGGGATCGGACGCACATGCTCGAGATGTGTTGTGGTCGTCATGGCGACGAGCCACGTCAGAGCCCTCGCCGCCGCAGCCCGTGAGGCAACCCAAGGTGGGCCTGGCAAAAGGGCTGTGAGGGAGCCTCCACACGCTGCGTTTCACTCCGGCTCTCATCATGAGGCATGTACACGCTCAGGGGATGAGTGGAGGTGTGTGTCGTGACGTCCACATGAGGCGTCATAACTGCGCTCATGGGTTTATGTGTGGAGGAGACGTATCTCGGACAGAGGAATGCCGCAAGCTCTGCGGTTCATTAACCGATAGGTTAAAACCAGCAAGCTTCTGCAGCGAGCCCTGCTGTCTACTAATCAACAGATTGGTGGCAGCTGGCTTAGTTAGCGAACTCTGCAGTTTATTAACCGATAGATTAAAAACTGCAGGCTCTTACACAGAGTGGGGGGTGAGAAAACTTGATACTGATGACTCAGACAAAAAGTTTGGAAAATGAACTCTCCTTTTATTTTCCACACAACCCCAACACGTCAAAAACGTCTCTGCTTCCTCGGAGGCTCTGGTGGAGCAGACCAAGAGCGGGAGTGCCTCACTCCCCGTTGACCCACCGCTGGAAGACCCCTTTGTCTCTGGGGTGGCGGGGGAGCGGAGACGTGGGACGGAGCCCCTGCAGCCGCTGAAGGACTCTGACGCCGCGGCTGTGGGCGTCTCTCCGCCTGCCGCTGTGGCCGGGTCGGACGCTGCGGCTGCTGCGGGCGTTGATGCCGCTGTGGCCGCCCAGCAGGCTGGAGCCAGCTGACGTGCTGGCGGATGTCGTCCGCCTGTTCTGCAGCAGACTTCATGGACTCCACCATGGCGTGGAACTGGGGTCCGAACAGCCCGTCCGGGCTGATTGGAGCGTCCAGAAGCACCTTCCTGGCCGTCTCTGTAAGTGACGCCTGCTGCAGCCAGAGGTGGCGCTGAATCTGCATCACCCACGCGGCGATCCTCGCCTGGGAGACAGCGACGGACGCGCACAGTGTGAGCGCCGTGCTGGCCGCCTTGCCGATCTTCTCCGCTTCATCAGCGGCCAAGGTGGTGGACCGCTCCACCAGCGTCACCACCGAGTTTGAGAGCAGCGTGATGTTGTTCGCCGCCGCCGCCGCCTGAAAGGCACACTGGTGCACCCGGTCGGCCTGGCGGGCGACATACTGGTCCCTGGGGGAGGCCAACGTAGGGCGCCGTCCGGCGATCACGTTGGCCTGTCTCACCCCAAAAAACGCCGTCAGGCTCGGCTTCAAAGAAGGGGTGGCTGGGAAACCAGCATCTGTGAACCCCTCCACCTTGGTGAGGGGAACAAATGTGGCCACCGGAGCCTTCAGGGTCCTCGGGTTCGCCGCCGCCCCCTCCTGGTACCTCCTGATGGCGGGGAAGCGTGGCCAGACCGGGTCACTCCTGACCGTCTGCACCCGCAAAAAAACTCCGGTCATATCGTCCGGAGCACACCTCTCCTGAGCTGGGGGAACGGGGAGACCTCTGCATATGATCTCCGGTAGTTCCCCCAGGATGCCACCTATCACCGGCAGCGCCGTGGTGACGGAGAAGGGGACCGCGTGCTCGTCCGCCAAGCCGGCACCCTGCTCCGACTCTGTCTCCCCCGTCTGGGGGAGAGGAGGGAGGGGAGAACCGTACGGTGAACCGTGGAGGGAGGCGGGGTAGGAGTCGTCCGACACCTGCCCGGCACTCGGCTCCAGGGACATGAGGCCGCCGTCCACGGGCTCGAAAGCCTGGACGGGCCAATCGTCCTCCTCGGCCGCAGCAGCGAGAGCGTCCGCTCTTCGCTTCCTGTCGTCCGCGGGGAGACGGGCACAGTGTGTGCATGCGACCTGCTGGCTGAGAGCCGCGTATGCGTGCTCTGGCCCCAGACAGGATTCGCACATCGTATGCTGGTCGTAACCCATAATGTATCCAGAGCCACATGAGGGACAATCTCAAACACAATTGCTGCTCATGATTACTCTGTTAATAAAAATGTCTCTTGTGCTTCAGTAACGGGGTGCTGAAGAAAAAGAGGGAGCAGATTGTCGGGCCTCCTTCCTATTTATACCGGAAGGGAGCCCGAGGGTGGGCCCACCTTGCGGGCGGGCGTGGACTACAAGTGTTTCAGTGCTGCGCGGGTGCGCAGGGGGATTACCCAATAGCGATAGCCTTAGAGGGCGAAGCCATATACGAAATAGAACAAGCCAAGCACACCGCTGATGCTGACAGCCCCGCTCCTGCCGCTCGCTTGCGGCAGACCACGCTTGAAAGTTTGCCGGGGAGACGCCTGGACAGTGACACGGCGTCTACGAGCAGCAAGCTTTCAACAGCGATAGCTAAATAGGTGGCGGTGGCTACAGCTTGCAGGACAATTAACATTGTGGAGCACGAGGGACTGTCTGAGATCATTCGGATCGCATCCAACGTGTCGACTGCACATCACAGCGCATTATTTTGACCCACAGTGGGAACGTCTCATGCTTTGACTGTTATAAAGACAGAGGAGCGGCATTTCGCCGACAACTGTAAACAGGCTTGTCTGTTTGAGCAACTGGCTCAGTGCAAATAAGTAGACAGGGTTGGGAGAGAGTGTAAGAGCGAGAGAGAGGTTCCAGGTTGTTGTGTTGAGAATATTCAGGAGAATATTTGTCATGGTTCAGAGGTTGTTGTATTGAAAATATTCAGGAGAATATTTGTCATTGTTCCAATGATAATAAACAAACATTTGCATAAAGCATATTTGTCCACTCATATGTTGATAAGAGCATGTGCGTAGGAAGCATCCTGAATGTGGGGGGGACATTTTTAACGGGGGGTGTGGGGGCGAAAAAAAATATAGATTTCCTGTATTCTGGTGCATTTTAACAGGTGGTTTGATACTTTTATGTGGCTATACTAGCATGAGGAAAATGATGGGTACATTTTGTAATTTCATCCAGTAGTAAAGAAAGGAAACATATTTGATTATTAATTCAGAGCCGTCATTGAATTAATAAAAAGCAGTTTAAATGCCCATTTTTTGTACATTTATATACAACAATAAATATTTGTGAGTGCATTGAGAGATATTGTTGTGGAGAGTCATTTATATATAAATTGCAAAATACATTTGTGAATCCTTCTGTGAGCATTTATTAATATTGAGACTGATCTGACTCCATACGGATGTTAAGTTCACCTAGGAATGGTATCATTGACTTAAATGTTCAAATAAATGTTGCTCTTCTGTCTATATTGGTCATATGATGCCCCTTGACTGAAATGTTTCCTGTTCAATATCCCCACTGATTTCCTTAAAATCCTGGGATGAGAGTCCACATCACAATTTACTCTCAACTGTCATTTCCCTTTCATCACTCACCTCAGCAATGGACCTCTCTCCACTGTCACTGTATTCTGCCTCTGACTCACTCTCAAGTGCCTAGATGTCAAGAGAGGTGGTGAAGTGATCATTATTTATTGAGCAGTATACTCTTTCACATTGAATCATAACAAGTCATACTGAATGTAAATACAACTGACTCTAAAGTAAATCCCAGTCTGTGACATTGGACATTTTGAAGACTCAAAGTCCCAAGCAGTAGGTAGAATATGCTATGTAATGTGCACAGAAAATAAATAGTTAACTGCATACTGGGATGGAAATAGCCTATAAGCACTCAGTAAAACATAAACACACACAAAAAGCTTCTGAATGATAAGAAGTATAATTAAAACATAATGCACATTACCATTTTGAGAGAGAGTACCTAAGTTAAAGAACTCAGAAAAGAATCTCTTATCGAACTGAGGCTCCAGTAAAACACACTGACTGCGTCTCTACATGGACATCAGTAAGCCGTTTATGAGTATTATCCCGGTTATGATCATATTGGGGATATGGTGTTTACATGAGCACAGAGAGATCGGGTTATTCATGTTCCCTGTTTACATGATAAATACTAGTAACCTGGCATTTCGATGCCTTTTCTAAACTATTCAGTATTTGTATCTCTCTATCATGACATAAAGACGAAACTCCTCTCCAGAAGTGAGACACCGCCATCACTGTTAACTGATTAACTGCTACCAGCTGATGACTTACTTTCCTCTTCTTTGAAAAAAATGTTCTTATGTCCATGTTGTCTGGGGGAGAAAACATATCAAACCAAGAGATCGTCAGCTTTGATTTTCGCTGTATTAACCATTTCCTGAACATTTGGTGTGTGTGCCTTACCTCCGCTACCGGCATCGCTTCATACAACAGATCTGAGCTGTCCAACTATGACAACACTCCTTGAACATGCGCGCGCTACTGTATGTGAGAATCTGCCTTGGTACAAAGTAGCAGTGAAAACATGGTACGGAGTTTCATTGATTTGGGCATTCTCTCAATAAGCAAGTGGAATGGATTTCATTTGATAGTGAAGCACTGACACAGCGCTCTACAAAGTGCGGCGAGTGGATAGACCGATTCACGGACTTTGCACATAGTAAAAGTGGGGGGGTCTAAACTAATCATTTGAAAAAGTGGGGGGGACTTGTCCCACCCTCATATAATGGCTGCGACGCCCATGGATAAGAGTATTCAAAACTTGAAAAATATTCCTCTAAGGTACATTTAGAACAGATACAAAATGTGCGATTATTTTGCGATTAATCGCGATTAACTATGGACATCATGCGATTAATCGCGATTAAATATTTTAATCGACTGACAGCCCTAATAATTATCCAATCGTATTTCAAGAAATCTTACCAAGCTAGTTGTCACTTGTTCTATTGGCAGAATTGTTTTACTTATTACAAGAGAAAAAACATGTTTTCATGATTTTTTTACTTCATGAAAACATGTTGCAGCCACTTTTTCCACTATCTGATTATATTGTGTTGCTGTGATTTTGCAGTTGCAGCCAGGAGAGAGTTTATTGGTGAAGCCTATCACTAAGTGTGAGAGCGGCACACAGACAGACATCCACCCATTGGAGACAAACATCGACAAGTCATACGAGTGGAATGAGTGGGAGCTGAGAAGAAAAGCTATCAAACTGGTGAGACAGAATACAATACGAATGAATCAGGGAATGGGAATGTGACGTTATCAGGTCGGCCATCTTTGGAGGATATGAGTGAACGCAACTTATTGACTTTATCTGTACAGCGAGCAATGTCGCATAACTGTTAAACTTTAAACCTTGTAAACATGTTCAGAAGGCACTCTGTGACAGCTAATCCCAAGACAAGCAAACAAAAAAAGGACCAAGGGTTAAACTTTATTATTTTCCAACATGCAAAGGTAATGAGGAAGACGTAGCCGACATCGGCAAGAGACGGAGAACGTGAGGGTGGTAGAAATCTACTGACTGTTACTGCAAGTGTTGAAAATAATTGCTGAACTACAGTAACACAAACCACTACACACGGAAATCATTTCAAACATGAAATCTAGCAGAATATATCAATATTCCGATAGACTATTTATTCATAAACCAATGTTTTTTTAGCATTCAGTTAGCATAACATTAGCTTCTCACCTTTGTCTGGATGAAGGTCTAGTTGTCATTGAAGGTCCTGTACCCCCCAGTTTGTTTATTAGACATGGGTCTTCAAACATTGAAAATGTTTTAATTGGTGTAGGGGCTAACTCCAAACGGCAGAAAGGTGCAAACATCAGTAGCAGTGATCGGTCCATTCTTATCTTAATTCATAAACACAGATGTAATTAACTTTAATTTAGTCAAATAAAGCTTCTCTGACTCAGTCTCAAGATTCTATTTTAAGCATTTATCTGTAAAACTGTTGAAAGATGACTGATAAGAGCTGATAGATATTGACGCCTCATGTTGTTGCTATAGCCGCTATCCTCCAAAGATGGCAGCGCCGCCCTATTGGGCACAATGGTTAAGAAAAATAAACATTCACAATACTTAAGAATCAAGCTATGTTATATGCAAAATAAATGCGGCCATTTCATTTTGTAACATTATCCCAGGCTGATCTGCGGACCAAAGAGACACGGTCGATGCAGACTGATCTGAGCCACATGAGGCGGGAAAACGTCACGCAGACCTGGCCGCCCAAAGATGCTGCCACTCAGAGCAAGAGAGACGGGGACAGCAGCGTGCCCAGACCTCAGGTGTACCTGGCCGGCCTGAGGGGACAGAGAGACGCACACGTGGTCAAAACAAACCTGACCCGGCCCGTGGACCAATAAACAGGGATCTGAAAGAAAAAAAACATCAAAATAAAAGTTAGTGTAAGCATGTTTTTGTTTTTATTCATTCTGCTTTTGATGAGGACTGGAGGACTTTATAAAATACAAAAGCATAGCCAGATAATGTACCGGTTAAAGTGTTCCTATTTCTTTCGTTTTATGCAGTATATATGTAGCGAAGGATTTCAGAGCGTTTCAAATTGGAATGTTTTAAATGCATGCACATTCGCAGGCTAGTAATCTGTGTAGGCTGGAACATAAGACAAGTACTAAAACTGAAGTCTACCATTCTTTATTGGTCTGAAAGTATGACAAGACTGTGTTTTTGCACCAGTGTTTTTATGTTTGTTTCACCCCCTTACTTGGTCTAAATTTGCTCTTACATTAAAACAAAAAACATGAATGTTCAGCAAATATGTATTAACACCCTTCTACGCTGTAAACAATGTCTCAGAATACTGGTTTACATGAATAACTGCAGTGAATATACAAATAATACACACTGATAATGCATTCCAAAATGATAATGTTGCTGATTTGATGGTGTGTATTCTCTGATGGATGAACATCATCTAGGCTTACCCATTCATTTCATATGGAGGTCATTTATGACTGGGAACAAAGTTGAATAAAGCACTCAGAATTCAATGAAAGTGGTGATCAGCAATATTACATGTTCCAGCGCCTACTGTGGAGGATATCATAAGACGTTGAAGCATCATGTAAAACACAATATTTATGATTGATGAAAGTAGTACATTGGTAACAAATTGGCCCTAACACGACAGGAGGGTTAACAGAATGCTTAACCAAGGAAGAACAAATAAGGAGAAAGGCAACAACCCGCAACACGGAGCTCATTATAAGTTATGAATACATTTCAGTTCATTTATCTGTACCACTCTGGGCTTAGCAAATCAAAGACGTATTGAAGGGCGTTAGTGTGTCCTTCAGCTTGAATATGGTTTATTGTTCCAGTGGCCTTCATATTCTACAAGGCCTGAAATAATTCCAGTATACAGTTTTAATTGAAGCTCGATGGTGTTTAAAATGTGACTGGTTATCTCACTATAAAAATAATAAGATCCAAGCTGTTATAAAGCAGAAATATGCATTAAGAGGACACTTAAGACACTGAAATGCAGCCACTGAGAAGTATATGGTTTATGCTGATTTGATATTGCACTACAGTTACAGTCTCTTGCCTCACTTTGTGTGTCATGGTCACATCACTAATCCTTTTCAGCAAATTTGGGTTGTTTTCATTGTTTACAATAAAGATGCTTTTACTAAGCTCTCTGTTTTGTCCATCCCGGTTTGGCTTTGTCTGACATTTGGAATAAGCCACAACAGATGTCTCAGCAAACATTACATTTGATAAAAGCGCTCTCAAATCTCTGGATGATGGCTTCTCTCTCCTGCAGCCGGTCTGTTTTACAACTGATATTTCAAAATCCTTCTTTACTGTTTTATTTGAAGACTTGTTTTTGTCATTATAGAGACAGATTTGAAAAGGTGCCAGAGTTTAGGCCCGAAACCTTTGGAAGAATCTAGAAAAATCACTGCCCTCCTTTAAGGGTTATTTTCCATTAGGTTGATTTTGTATTTGATTGTTTTCCTGTTTTTTGTACTTTTGTACAATTTGCCATGGTGGTTTTGAAAGGAGCTATACAAATAAAGTTACTATTATTTTCATTCATACAATTATGTTGGCAGTAAACCTAGAACTCGGAAGCACATTTCATTCACCCAAAAAAGATAGCTTATATTTTCAGTTTATCTTCGATGGTATGCTCCTGGTTTTACTACAGAACTTAGTTTGGAAAAATGTTGCATAATATTGGTGAATATTTCTGGGGAATATGTGAAGTGCTTTTGTTGAGGCTACACTGTATTGCAGTGAAGTGTTTCAATCATTCACAAATAACAATTCTGAAAATCAGGATCACAAAATGTCACAAAATATATATATATATAGATTTAATTCTTATTTTATTATTATTATGAGTAACTACCTCGTTATTCTGATAATGAGATGGATTTCTCAATATTACCTGATAGTAACTTATAATTACGAGATAAGGTGTCTATTTCTTTTCTTTTGTAAATGCAATGCACTTCTGTAAAGACCAACTTCTATACAAAAAAGATGTATTATCAAGAATTCTGCAAACAGGATTTATTAAACCACTATGTGAATGAGAAGAGATACAAGAGATGTAAATGTATAAAAAGCTCAAATTCTATCTGAGATTGACACTAAAGTCTGTGACAACAAAGTGTAAGTTAGAACAGCACACCACGAAACCCTGAAGATTTCAACAAATAAACAGCTGCTGTTTGAATGTGTGTTTCTCTGTATGTTCATCATTTGCAAACTCTAACACAATAAGCAAGCCACACACCCAAAACAGAATCCAGATGTTCAAAACGTGTGAATCTGATACCATTTTTGAAATGGAGCCATTCTTAACACAATAGAGAGGAGAGAAATACTCAAGTACAGAATGTATTTATTCTAAATGTAACCATTTTCAACAAGAAATATGGTAGAATGATGTCTGCATTGGTGTCATATTTATGGGACCAAATACACAGCTTCTACAGGTTTTTATCATCATCAAAATGAAGTGATGGAAACTCGCACACTTTAGGAGCTTTGAGTCTGGGATGCATTGCACCATCACGACAACAATGTGAGAGAAGAAGATGAAGCCTTTCCATTTGTTGAGCATCATGCGTCTTGAGGAGTCCCTCAGACCATTAGTCTGCGTACCGGCTCATAGAGTCCTGCTGTTGTGAACCCGGAAATGTTGAGTATCCTTGAGTACTCCAAAATTGGCCAAACCATTTTTTAACTATTATCTGGATATGCAAAGGAATGCTAAATAACACAACTTAATGTCTAATTGTGCAAATTGCCCAACATATGCAAGTTAGCATCCTGCAGTTTCTATGTGCTGGGGAGAGAGGGATGAAGGGATGTATGGATGAGCGGATAAGGGTGTCGCAGGTGTGTACCTACACTGAAAGAACTTAAACGTTGACTTGAATTAAATGTATTATGTCACTATACATTTCTATCACAAAACTTTGGAGTACTCAACATTTCCGGGTTCACAATGCTGGTAACTAGACTAGAATGCTTTTCACTTGCTTGGTTGAAAATAGGGTGATGGGAGTGAAAGATGGACCTGTTCTTACATAAAAAAACATCAAAACTAAACAAAAAAAAACTGCATTTAGTATTTCATTGATGCACTGCCAGCAATTTCTCCCAAGACCTCGATTGAAGAGTTTATAAAGCCCCAAACAGGTGTGAAAAGTCTGATTGGCAGGTAACCTGGAGATTAAGTCACATTGGGTCATTTGGTCCTTTGAGGTTCTGTCCATTCAAAAACATGCAGACCAAGGTAAAGGAGAACATGTTAGGGGTCTGGTCCGCCTGAAAATCTCTACTGTGCACTAGTGTTCTTTGGATTGAACTGTTCCATCTCCTTTCTTTCAAATTTCAATACACAAAAGCTTGCATTTTTAATCTCACTTGTTTTACAAGTGTTCAGACTTGGGTTACATCCCATGTGTGTTAGGAGTAGATGGACCAGTAGATGAAGTTGAAGAGGATGTAGGCTCCAGGAAACATGACCCTGGAGTATTTGTCTATGGCGTGTGTGTCGATGGCGGCGCTGCTGTAGGTCCCGGAGCTCACATGGCCGGTGATCTGGTCGTTCTCCATCAGCTCCACCAGCATCCTCTCCCGCTTCACCCCATTTCTTGGCATGCTGCCATAATTCCCTGTTGTGTTGGCATCCACCTCACTGTAGCTGGCTGACATGGTGCCAGGATGGGCCAGACCACAGGTACATGGCATCTGCAAGTACACACAAAAAACACAGATGTTCACAAAGAAATGGTTAGGAATGTTAAACAACTTGTCACTCCAGATAGGAATGCAAACTGCAACGATTTGGTTTTCATAAATTGTTTAAATTAAGTGAATATATTCATTTAGGTTCAGGAGTATGGCCACGCCCACACCTAAACCCCATCTCTAATCACGGTCATCAATCCTTACATCCCGACATCCCTTATCCGCTCATCCCTCAATCCTTACATCTCGTCATCCACCAATCCATTCATCCATACATCCCTTCTTCCCTCATCCCTACATCCCTTCATTCAGATGTTGGGATGAAGGGATAAAGGAAGAGAGGGATAAAGGGATGAAGGGATAAAGGAAGAGAGGAATGAAGGAATAAAGGAAGAGAGGGATGAAGTGATGTATGGATGAGCGGATAAGGGTGTCGCAGGTGTGTACATGTACCTACACTGAAATAACTTAAACGTTGACTTGAATTAAATGTATTATGTCAAGAAATGTCACATAATTGCAGAGGTGGCAAAAGTACACACTCTCTTTACTTAAGTAGAAGTAGAGATACTTGTTAAAAAAAGACTTTGGTAAAAGTAGAAGTACTGACTCAACTTTTTACTTAAAGGAGAGGTGTCATGCTTTTCCGGTTATTACCCGTCCCCTTGTGTGTTATGAAGGTTTTTATGCATGTAAACGGTGTGCAGAGTCAAAACCCTCAAAGTACACCCTGTAGCGAGTAAAACTCTAACACAGAAAATACCTCCCCAAAACGCCTCGTTGGAGATACGTCACTGCCCATTTGAGTCTTCCGGGTACGGCATGATGTAATCCCGTACCCGGAACAAAATGGACCAATCCGTGGAGCCGTTACGTTACGTCCGCGGAGCCGTTACGTTAAGCCCCCGCTGATTGGTCCAAATTGACCAATCCACGGACTTCCTCACACACAGGCAGCTCTGCTGATTTCTCCTCCCTGGCTGCAGGCTGATAACAGACAGTTGGGATCGCGGCAAAATTCTCTCTGCAGACCCATTCTCACAGCGTTTATCAACCTTTTTCTTACTCAATATCAAGCCACACTTATTGTTTTTACTTCGGCTGTGACTTTGTGTGTGCTCAGGATGAGTTTGGCTGTGTTTCGCTATGTATCCTAAACAAGGAAACAACACCTCCACGGAGCTCAGCGCGATTCACAACGTCCCGACCAATCAGAGCACACTGTGCTCACAGGGAGGGTGGGGGCTGGAGCTATTGGAGCTACAACGAGCCGTTAAAGGCAGAGAGTGAAATTCAGTGAATACACATAGTTTACAGAGATGCTGTATGAGAAACCAATGTGAGTTTGGACAAATGCACAGTATAAATCTATTTTAGTAGACCTCAACAATGGAATTATGATCAGTGGAAATGGCCATGACACCTCTCCTTTAAGTAAAAGTACAAAAGTACAGTTTCTGAAATGTACTCACAGTAAAAAGTAACTTTTAAACTGGCTGTTTTTGTGCAAAGCTAAGTGAACCTTACATCATATTAATATAATATAATATTAATATAAGTGAAAAGGAGCTTAATTTCAATTTATTTACTGCCATTCTGAATGTATTCAGCGTGAACAACAAAAACAAAGTACCTGTATTTGCTGTCGCCAACATTGTAGATGGATTACTTTGCCTTAATATAGGCCTAAACAAGGCCTAAGATTATATATAAAGCGTCTTTGGGTTCAAGAAAAGCACTATAGAAATATAATTTATAATTATTATTATTATTATAGTGCATTCGCCACGAATCATTTTGTGCGCCCACAACTTCGAACATCTCACTTAAGTAAGGCCATGGATGCGGGATGTCTTGCTGGTGGTCTGATGAATCGCCTCCGTTGATGTTATCTTCATGTTCAGTCCTGTCGCTGACTGTACTAGCGTTACTCATGGACATTATGCCGTTAGACCTTTCTCCCTTAACATCTCTGCCTAGCTGTTTCGTCCTACGTCTTTTACGTTGTTTTCGTCTGTCGTGCATGATCTGCACACCATGGCTCGTCTTCTCTACGTGTTATTTTCACATCCATTTAATCAGTCTTGATGTCGGGCCCGTTTTGAAAAAGTAGAAAGTACAGATATTTGTGTTAAAATGTAGGAAGAAAAAGTCGTCAGAAAAATAAATATTTAAAGGTGGGGTAGGTAATTTTGGAGAAACCAGCTCAAGTGCGCTAGAATTAGAAAATACACAGCCGGAAAAAATCTGCCACTTCCTTACAGAGCCCCTCCTCCAACACACACGAACGCGCACATGACCAATGAGGGCACGAGATAAGTTTGTGCACAGATGGAAGGCTGACAGGCAGGTAGGCCATCCAGTTGTTTTAGCCGAGCCGGCTAAAATGATTTGTCGTGCTTTTTACAGTACTACGGCTTCCACAGATGATATTTTTTTATGGATTTTTTTGTCAAAGCACTTAAGATATTCATTGCTATCGGGATGTTAAGAGCATTCCATGGAATATAACAAAAAGTGTATCTCGAGCCGGTTTCTCAAACTTACCTACCCCACCTTTAAAGTGGACCTATCATGCTATATTTGAATAATATATTGTAGGGCCATACCTATATAAAACATGTCTGTGAATTTTTTTTTTCAAAATACCAAACAGATCATGCATTTTAGCCATGCCTCATTTTGCTCTATTTTGCTCTCCTCCAGCCCTGTCTTTGCATGAGCTGCAGCTGACCACGCCCCCCTGCAAAGGAGGGGGGCGAGGCACGAGCGTCATGTTACCATGCTGTTACCATGCTGTTACCATGCTGTTACCATGCTGTTACCATGCCACGGCAACCTCTCATTCCCCTGATAGGTGGAGAGTTGGCCATATAGAGTGGCGAAGTCACGCCCATCTACTTCCGGTCCATGGGACCCTATTTCGGAAAAATTATGTATTGAAGTCAATGGAGAGAGAAAACTTATCTTTCGATCCCGTTTGAATTGTGCCATGAATTACACATATGATGTTTGTCAATCTTAAAAAATCATTTCCATGTCAAAAAAGTCACAATTTGTCGTAAAACTGTTGAAATATAAGACTATGAAAAATACGCAACTAGAAAGACTACAAATAAGTGATGTCACTCATAACTGATGTCACAATTGTTTTCCTCCACTAAAATAGAGATAGCTAAGATTAGATAACTTTAAAAAGATGCCTGTGTGCTTAGTACCAGGTTGTTATCATACCAGCAATGGGTCTTGCTCGTTCTTTCGATTCCCGTCTGATGAAAGGACCAGGAGTGGCTGGATCAAGTTAGCTACCTAGCTAGTAGCAAGCATGATAGGTCCCCTTTAAGTAAAGTACAGATACCTGAAAAATCTACTTAAAGGTGGGGTAGGTAATTTTGGAGAAACCAGCTCGAGTGTGCTAGAATTTGAAAATACACAGCCGGAAAAAATCTGCCACTTCCTTACAGAGCCCCTCCTCCAACACACACGAACGCGCACATGACCAATGAGGGCACGAGATAAGTTTGTGCACAGATGGAAGGCTGACAGGCAGGTAGGCCATCCAGTTATTTTAGCCGGGCCGGCTAAAATGATTGGTCGTACTTTTTACAGTACTACGGCTTCCACAGATGACATTTTTTAATGGATTTTTTGTCAAAGCACTTAAGATATTCATTGCTATCGGGATGTTAAGAGCATTCCATGGAATATAACAAAAAGTGTATCACGAGCCAGTTTCTCAAACTTACCTACCCCCAGTGGCGGCGCCAGGGTATGGCTGGGGTAGGCTACATCCATACCAAGAAATGGCTTAGCCCCACCATGAAAAATGATGTTAAAGTAAGCAAAATAAAGTCCGCCAACTTGTGAGTAAATTGCACAGACAGCAGTTAGTAAGATTGATTTCAGTAGCCACTTGTTTGGAAATACCGAAGACTAGAAACTATTTTGAAAACTTTTGTCACGTAGTGATCGTCTTCTCAATAAAACATCTTTGATAATGTCTTCTGGCCAATCAGAATCACGATAACGGCGTGGTGTTGTTGCAGGAAGTCCCGACAGAGAATACTTTTGCTGTAGTACATCTCTATATACATCGATACAACATTACGTGTTGATGGAAATCAACACGTAATGAAATAAGACCCCACGGTTTGATGATTGATAGGTGTGTGGGCTGTCTTTCATTTTGACACACAGAACAATGGGGGCTATCCACCCTTATCCACAATGTAAAGTAATTCACACAGCCTCTTCCCTCTTCTCTCTGTGAGGAGCAGCAGGTTCAGCTTTCAGAACAAAGTAACACTAAACAAAAATGGCATTCATTTTTTTAAATGTGTAGTAATAAATTGCAGGATTGGCTCCAGGTCGCCCTTTTTATTTACTAAAAGACAAATGTGCCTTTTTATTTCATACAGTTCAATTTGGATTGAGACAGGGAAATAATCTAAACCTAACGCGTGGCGTTTCACTGTCAAGGGGGGCGATATAGCGTGTATGTAATTACATTGCAAATACTGACTTGAGCCCCACCACTGTATGGGTTAGCCCTACCATAGATTACCCAACACAAATACTCTGGAGCCGCCACTGCCTACCCCACCTTTAAGTACAGTAACAAAGTATTTCTACTTCGTTACTTCCCACCTCTGCATAACTGTATTAGGTTAGTTGAAATCAAGTTGAACCTAATACTTTTTATTGAACAATATATTATTGCTTTCAACAAACCTAATGCAGTTATATGAAATCTGTTGACATAATACATTTAATTCTAGACCATGTTTCAGTTTTTCCAACCAACCAATCCGTCATTAGAACCGTTAACGTTTGGTGCTCTAAAACAATGTCTTCAGTTAAAGCACCTGTAGGCATCTATCAGCATGGAGATGAGTGACTGGTACTAACCCTCTCTCGGAGTGCCCTCTCTTTGCGTTCTTGTAGAGTGGACAGGTAGTTGACAGCAGCGTACTCGATCACCGACAGGAAGACAAAGACGAAACTGACCCAGAGGTAAATGTCCACAGCTTTTATGTAGGACACCCTGGGCATGGAGGCGTTGACTCCAGTGATGATGGTGGACATGGTGAGCACCGTGGTTATACCTATAACAGGATCACAAGTTCTAACAACAACACCGACTATCGTGGAAATGTATCATTTTAGTGTCATTCAGTTATATTTTGCCCTGGCTGAGCCTCCGAGGCTTCTTCATACCTTTAAATAAACGTTCTATTTCTGTTTTCTAGCTTTCAACAGAGTGTCGCCTTGACCATTGTCAGACAATAATCATGTGGATGTTAGGTGTGTAATTAGTTACCATGCGTGATGTCTCTGCCCCTCTGTCTACCATTCAATAGACTGTAATGTATGTAATATTGCTTTGATTGGCTGTATCCGTCCCCTTCCTGTATTTCTGTATACGTCTCTTGTCTTTTTTTATAACTGGTGTCAGATGTTGTAACACGAGCTGCTGCAAACATCTGCCCTTCCAGCTGGAAAATATTGATTCTGTTGAACGCTTTGACTTTTGACTCTATTAAATAAAACAACTTTGTCTTAAACATTTACCTTTGTTCATTTCTTACCAAAAGGGGATTTATTGTGGAACTCCCTCCACACTAACTAGTAGCCCAGCACTCTCACCTAGTGGCACCCTGGCAGGGACGGCCCTGCGGTCGATCCAGAAGGACACCCAGGACAGCATGACCATCAGAGTGGCAGGGAAGTAGGTCTGCAGCAGGAAGAAGAAGACGTGGCGGCGCAGGGTGAAGTTGATGTACAGACGGTTGTACCAGCCTGGAGGAGAGAAGAAGTTAGAATGCACACAGCGCTACTTCAAGCCTAAATTAAAAGACGGCTCTGGACTTTGGTCGGCACCTGTGCTGCTGTAGAAGGCCAGCTTGGTGGTGGTGTGGAACTCTTGGATCAGGAACTGGGAGAGAGATATTTTTTCGTCTGTGTTTAATGACCTGTTCCCTTTCTTCCAGTACAGCATCAGGTCATCATCTGTGTACGCATCTGGAGAGACAAAGAGCAAAATGAAATATCGTGATGTTCATTGTATAGTAGCTTATATGAAATAACACCAGGGTGACGAGTGACATGCAGTGAGAACACACTGACAAAACGTTTCTCTTTATCTAACCTAATGCAGTTATGTGAAATCTGTTGACATAATACATTTAATTAAAGTCAACGTTTCAGTTTTTTCAGTGCATGCTCCACAGTCTCTAGCAATGTAACATTTCATTGATCTAAAACATGACACAAGGAGAAATATCTCACTGCTTCTGCAGCTATGACAAGACTTTACAGCAGTCACAGGAACGATGGGAGGGGTGACTGCAGAGGAGAGGGAAGGCCACATGGAGCTGATCACAGCCGTCACTTACAGCTCTCGATCTCCAAAGAGCATGTCTGCGTGTCCAGAGGGAAGCGACTCAGGTCCATGCTGCACATGGATGTGACTGTCACCCTGCAAGACAAAACCAAGCTGTAAGGATATGACAAACGAGTTTGGGGAGTGAGTAAAGTCATATTTATATCATTAAGAATAACAACTTCTCTGTAACTATATTTTTGTACTGTATGACCTGTACAATAAAAAAAAATACTCATAATAAATATGAATATGAGAGTATATAAGATCTTATACTTGCACATCCTTATGTGAATGAAGGCCTCCAAACCCTAAACCCCTATAGCTTCTTGCTTCTTATGTTTTTTTCCAAAAATGAATTATTAATGAATTTGAGTTAGGACTGATGGCTTGCTAGTCTCTTTTATTCTTTTTGTTCCTGTTCCTTTCTCTGTGCTTTTGGATGCGTGCTTTGGGGCTTTTTGGTGCTGGAGGACCCATGATCATGACAACAGGAACTAAACTCAGAAACTAGTTATCTTTGCATTTCTGTTTGCCTTTCCACTGTATGTGAAGACTCATAAAGATGAGGTGAATTAGTGTTGGACAGATTAGAGAAGACTACATCAAAACGTCGTTTATAGCTACACTCAATGTGCTGAGATGTGGCTAAATAGTTGCAAAGACGGTCAGTGATAGATTCCTAATGTTCTTGCTTTCAAATGTTTATTTGAAATGTTCTGTAAAGCCCAGTAACGTTTTTGAAGTGCACTGAAGTAGCATCCCACACATACATTTATATCAACCAAAGCTTGAACATTATTGCAAACAAATGTGCGTGCAGAGTAAGAACACCAGTGGACATCTATGGATGTCGTTAAGATGACTGATTGTGGAATGTCCCCTCTTCACTCACTCTGTAAATCAGGGACAGAACTGAGGGCTTAAGCCAAAAGTAAAGATTTTTCAAACAAGCAGAAAGAGGATTTTTTCTGGCTTGAAAGAGAATTTGAAGTTCCGCTCCAAAAAGTGACACATTTCTTTTTTGTGTCGGGCTGCATGCCCCATGAACCACAGGTTTTCTTCTCTGCTCTGCAACAGCTGTTTGCTGTTTCTCTCAATCGCCCCATTCTGAAGCGACTTCACTACTTTTATGACGAAGCAAACAAGCCTTCATGTGTCTCTCTTTATGCGGCGCTATACTCACATCCCCATGACTGTGAGGAAGACTCAGTTAGAGCAGAGGGATGTCAGTCTGTTGCTTGCAAAGCCAGGTCTGGAAAATGGTTTGAATTAAATGATTATATTTTAATTTGTATCAACAGTGACACAATCGGGCAGCTAGCTGTATTTATGGCTTGGTGTATGTTAGGCCCTGTCTGTGTCTATTGACAGATTTGAGTGTAACAGGTAAAGTGCAGGAGACTGGGGAAGATGTTAACATCTCAAATCTCAGAACTTGTAAAAAAAATGAACAGACCATATTGACTCATTATTGTCAAACTGTATGAAAAAACTGAAACGTCAAATTTAATTAAATGTATTATGTCAACACATTTCACATAACTGTATGAGGTTAGTTGAAAGCAACAATATTAATTTGAACCTATTAAACTTAATATAAAGGACATTTGTTGACATAATACATTTAATTAAAGTCAACGTTTCAGTTTTTTCAGTGAATAAAGTGAATTGAATTGTTTATATTCTGTATAGGTTTTCATATATAGGTTATTTTAAATAATTGTTGACCCCTACATTTGTTTCGATCAAAAACCGTTAAGAACCTTAAGAAGCAGAACACGAATAATTCAAATCCAAACGATAGCCCCTCTTGTGTTGGAATTGTAGTAAGCAGGCTCAGCAATAAAAAGACCTTGAAGATCTCTTTAAACCCTTGGATAATGTTCATGACACTGAAGCTGTTTATCATCAGTCATCACTGTGCTGCTGTTGTTGGAATCTGTGCAGTACTGCATCATGGGAAGTGAAATGGCCCATGGGCAAGGTAAGGCAGAGAAGGGCTCATTAGGGAAATTGACACATTACTATCACCAATCATGAGGGATGAATTATGTTACTAATGGTTACATCATTGCTTCATATTACAGGTCCCTGGTGCAGTGTAACCTGCAGAGAATTACCCCTCCATATTCACAGAGCCTCAGAGTGGGTCAGAGGTTTCAGCAGAGATTTGGTTTTACGGCACAGATGATAAATGAAAATGACTTAATCCAGCTCATAGGATGAGAGGAGGCTCCACGCTCTGCAGCGAGCTCTAACATCCTCACTCACAATCTGCCTTAGTCTGGAAAATCTCCAACCAGCACCCATCCCACACAGATTAACCACGGCCATGTGAGGAGCATGCTTATGTCTAACCATAGAGCACAGCAACAGTCAAAATGTGGACATTGTACTTAAAAAAATATGTTATGTGTACACTATAAACATTAAACATTGACTTCAATTAAATGTATTATGTCAACAGGTTCCACATAACTGTTGAAAGCAATAGTATTAAGTTGAACCTATTATTTTTTATTTAAATTTAATTTGATTGCTTTCAACTAACCTAATAAAATTATATTAATTGTTTACATAATACATTTATTTAAGTCAATGTTTTTTTCAGTGTGTTACAGTGTTGTTGAAATATACATATTTTCACCTATTTATTATTATTTTATTACAGTACAATGTGAACATTTTTTAAGTCTCTATGGTTATGTTCCTTTTTTATTTATTTATTTAAAATCTAAATGGATTATGAAATCTAACCCTCCAAGGGATAATAAACCATTCTGATTGTGTTTTTTCAGTGCACCAGGTAGCAAATGATTACTGTAATATTCGCCTGCTATGAATCACATACTTCAGATATTTCAGATTACAGAGTGAATGTTGGTGAATGCAGATTTGTAGATGATGTCATCATATTAATATTTTGTGTCCATCAGCCCTATGCTCGAGCGGTCACAACAGGAGGCAGATGGCCAGCGCTCCGCCAGGCTCTGTAATGTGGATTACAAAATCGACTCTCTGGGTTCTGCGCCTCCTATCGCTCACCAAAATGACGAGGTCCTGCTCTGAAGTATTAGCAGTCGTAATTGGCGACGTTATCCCCTTAAATACACATCCTGTGGCAGCTGGTGCCACTGTGTTCTGCAGGACAGCCGTGGCAGTTACACTCCTGACCACCCACTGACATCATAACCTGCCCCACTTCAAAAGTATTACAGTTGCCGGATGTATCAGTGAGCTTGACACTGACCGCTATAGTTCATTATTAATGTGTAAACAAAACAAGTAAACACTTAGTTTCTGCATTTGGGACAGAAGATTAGTTTGAAGTTATGCAGGGAGAGATGGAAGAGTCAGCCACACTGAGCTGTCCCTGCACACCGATATACAGAGCCCTACAAAGAGCTACAATAACATCATAATAAAAGGGTTGAACAATACAAGTATTGCACAAGGATTAACATTTCTCCCAAAACAGCATTAGCTTCTTTGTTTAGCACTACCCCTCTCATTTTGTATATATTGACTGTTGTACCTTTTTATGTATGCCTCATAATGTGTGTATATGTATATACTGTATGTGTCTATGCTAGATAATGTATGTGTATATATATATATATATATATATTATATACTGTAAGTGGGTGTACAGGTGTGTATTTATACGTATATGTATTTTTTATATATTTGTATTTGTAATCTTCGGGATGGCGAGAAACAGCAATGTCCCTGTCCGTATCACACACACAGAGACATTGACGATAAGGCTGACTTTGATTAACAGTCTAATTTCTGAAGGAAACAAATACTCTCTTTCCTTTGCACAATCCTCCCATTGACAGGATATCTTTGTTGGAAGCTGTTGTTTCGAGGGTGAATTATGGCGCGTTTCCACTACAGCGCGGAGCACGGTTTAAGAGGGCTGTGACGTCAGCGGCCCGTCTTTGGTTGCGTTTCCACTTGGCCTAGTACCGGCCGGCGGGTCCTAATTCACAGTTTTTCTGGCCTCATAAAATCGCGGGTCTAGGGCCAGAGACAACGAGGCTGAGTCGGGCTGAGTATGCTAAACTAGAGAGAGCGTCGCTGGCAAGGGGGCTACAACTACAACAAGATGGACATATTTGACCGTGATTTAATTGTAATACACGTTTCAAAATGATGCCGAAGTAACAACATACTGATACCGGTTAGTAAAAACCATGAATTAATGCTTTGACAAGTCTGCAGACAGACGGCAGGCGAAAAACCTTTTAAAATGCGTGTTTTCTAAATGGAGATTGGCTAAGCTAACGCAGTATATGCTCCGACCGTCCACACTCACAACAACGGCCTATACAGACATAAATAAAGCAGCGATTGTATTCGCCATGACACAGGCAGTCTGTGGTTTGTACTTGTTTAACTTTTGTCTAGTTTCTGAACAGATATAAGGAGCTGTGAGCTCTGAGTGCTAACAGCTAACGGCTGTGTTGTTTTTCTGGGGTTCTCATTGAAGATGATGTCACGGCTCCGCCTACACTGCGTTACTATAGATACTACCCCAGTTCCTAAACTGTAATGGAAATGCGCCATAAAGTGAGCCAGCCATACCGAGCGAGGCCGAGCGAGGCCGTGTAGTGGAAACGCGCCATAAGGTCACTGAGAATGTGTTCAGCCTTATACAGCTGTTCAGCTGACAACCGACCCCCCCCCCAGCCACCCTGATCATGCTGCAATGCATAACTCTCCTTAGCAGAGAGGATCTATCTAGGGCCGTCCCTCCCTACAGGCCGATCATGCAGACTGCGTGGGGCCTCACCTTGCGGAGGGGGCCTCACCTTGCGGAGGGTGCCTCAACTGAGCCGAAAATGCTCCACTAGCTTTTTATAATGTTGACATGACATGTGAATTATATTATACTCATTTGTTGGCAATTTGTTGTTTCTGAGCCGTATTAATTAAGCATGTTCTTATTGCTCGTTATTTCTGAGGCCTTATCTGAATGCCTTTACTGAGAAGGTGGTACACTTGATTTCTTTGAATGCAGCATTAAAGAACTGTCGTAGCAGTGTTTGAACCTGATCCTACTTAGGTTTGTTTTAAATACAGACATTTTAATATCCTTTAAAAATGTCACAAAAGTAGTTATTCCACGGAATAGATTTATGTAAAAGTAACAAACGTTGCCAGTGTGCCCTTTTTTGAATTGGGGCCCCTGCCCCTCTAACATCCTCTGCATGTGCTAGCCACAGGATATCCACTGCACAGCACCAGATGCAGTCGGTAGGCACAGGCTTTGAAGGGCCTCTTTAATGTGATGACAATGCAGTCAGGTTTTATTATAAATGCAGCGTATATATTCCGGATAGCTCAGTGATTAGAGCTGCAGCCCATATGTGGTGTGCACTGCAAAGTACGCCGAGCCCACGTCATCCTGTCTGTCTCAGCCTAAAGGCACTCTCTAGCCCAATAACAAAGAGAAAATGTTGCATAAAGTTCCCAGAAAAAGGGAAAAATAACTCTAATGAATTGTCTTTCAGGGCTTTAAGGTACCATGTCCTCATGAGATTAAGATCAACTTTTAATAATCCCCCAGAGGAACCGGGGGTTACAGCAATTACATACAAAAGGTGAGATGACAACAATAATTCAATGAATGAATGAAAATAGCTCCTGTCAAACCTCAGGCTGACATGCTTCCTATTGGTCAGGATGTATGCACAGAGCCTGTTTCCATGGCCCATTGCTTGGCAATGCCCATCCTTGAAACCCCTGTTAGTGTGTGTATGTGTTTTCTTTTCTTTCTGGCTCTCTCTCTCTATCTCTCTCTGCCCTGTTTGCTGGTCTCCTATCAACCACCCCTGCCACCTGTTCACCACACTATGAAAGCCAGCTGCAGCCTGCACTCATTCCTTGCCGGATTGTTGCCGTGAACCGTTTTTTGCGTGCGTCTCTAGCCTTTTGCCAGCAAGTGTTTGCCTGTTGGCCAGTTGACCTGCTCTTGCCTCACTTGTTTTGTGCATCTCCCATGAGGAACCCAGGGCCAGACACACTCCCATGTCCGGCCAGACCTCTCCTCCCCCTGGAACACCTGTTTTTCACAGCCACCACCAACCAACCCCCACTCCCAGCTCACTTTTCAAGTCTGATTCTGGGTCCCCACATGTGACATTGTTACATTTAGTTTTTACAAAACACTAACTTTTCTACCTCAGCCTACCAGTGTTGGGCAAGTTACTTCCAAAATGTAATACAGTACATATGACTTATTACTGTCTTTTTTAAGTAATAAGTTACATTACAATATTACTGTCTCTGAAATGTAATGAGTTACACTACTTTTATATTACTTTTGAGTTACTTTCACCAAAATAACCTCAAAAGAATGGCTAGGTATTTTAAATGCAAAAATGTAGTTTAGTGCAGCTCATTATACATCCAGTGAAGGGCAATGTGGTATAGCATAACCACTGTGTCCTTAAGGCTACTAACAACTTTTATTACACGGCTTAGTTGAATACTCGATTCTGATTGGTCAATTAAGAACATGTGAAACGTTGTTAATACAGTAGTACAGACCGCTGTCAAGGACTATAATGACCGTTGCTAAGGAGGATCAAGAAAGAGAAAGGAAAAGAGGTTAAAAGACAGAGCGCTGGACGTCAGATAAATGAACAGAAGAAGGCAGAGAGGAAGTAAACAATAACAGGAACACGGTATGGGCTACAGACAGGAAGTAAACACTAACAGGAACACGGTATGGACCACAGACAGGAAGTAAACACTAACAGGAACACGGTATGGACCACAGACAGGAAGTAAACATTAACAGGAACACGGTATGGGCTACAGACAGGAAGTAAACACTAACAGGAACACGGTATGGACCACAGACAGGAAGTAAACATTAACAGGAACACGGTATGGGCTACAGACAGGAAGTAAACACTAATAGGAACAAGGTATGGGCTACAGACAGGAAGTAAACACTAATAGGAACAAGGTATGGGCTCTGCAGTGTTTAAGGACTTGTTAGTGGATCAGAAACTGTGAACAGAGTTGGACAGTGCTGCTGTAAAGTTGTTGTTGTCGCAGTTCCATCCATTGGTGCGCCGTTTCTTAACGGAAGAAATACGATCATTTTTATGTCAATAAAATCATTTCAATTAATATTGGGAGTCGAGTCGTTAGTTTGTTTAGTATCTGGCAGTGTAATAAGCGGGATAATGTGCAGCGACTTGGTCATTATGGGGAAAAGAACACCCTTCAGGATGATCAACCAGGTTTACTAATCTACCAGCACATTTTTCTCTGGTGTGGGAATGTCTCACGATGTTGGTGAATTCTTAAAAAACAAAACACCACTTAATTTCGGGTTGAAATGTGTTGTAACGTGCGTTACTGAGAATTGTAACGGGTATTATATAACTCACATTTCATTAGTAATGCGTTACATTACTGCGTTACAGAAAAAGTAATACATTACTGTAACTCCGTTACTTTTGTAACGCGTTACACCCAACACTGCAGCCTACAACATTGTTTGTCAAGTCTTTTTAAATTTCCTGAATTTCGCCAATAAAAATGTAATGTCCAATTTGAAAATGTAAAAAAAGAAACCCACTAAATGCCAGTGGCAGGTGTTCAACAAGGAATTGTTTCAGTAGTTATAGTTTAATTTCCCAGAATGTTGGAGCATTCCTTTAAACTGTTCCTGACCTAACAGCCACTTTGAGACTTTACATGTTTCCTTGGGGAGTTACCGGAGGCTGTAGAGGACTTTTCCATCGGGGTAAACTCGTAGCATGACGTTGTCAGTGGTGGTGTCATGGGTGAAGGACCTCTTGGAGTGGACGAAGAACATGTCAGGTACCCAGATCTTCTTCACCAGGCGGCCATCGAACGTCATGCTCAGGTTGTTGTTGCTTTTGAAGGCCAGACGTGCATCTTTCCAGTAGTGCCTTAGATACAAGGTCATGGTAAAGTCCTTAAACAAAAAGGCAAAGTCTGTTACAATATAATCGAAACTAACAACAAACATGCTTTTTCTTAATAAACATGTGTTCCAGACATACCATATCGACCTCTGAAATAGCATCCAAACTCTCAACCTGAACATCCACGCCTACAGAGACGGCAGGACCTGGAGAAATAATTTAGGGCAGTTTACAAAGATGCAATGACCTAAATAACAGCAGTGTCAGAGTGTCAGAAACAAGCTGTGACAGTGGGAGTGCAGATGTAGCTAGGTTCCTGTCTGGATTATCTGTGTTTATTTGGAAGTTGTGACTCCTTTTTTGGTGCTGACCCTTTTGCTTAAAACAATGACTTTATCCAAATCCAGAGCAGCTGGGAGCAGATTTCCCAAACACTGGCACAGAGCCAGCGGAGTGAGTACTCTAATCCTAATTGTTGTTGTAGTGCATGCTGGGGATTTTCATCGTTTTACTTTTTTAAACAGGCCAACAGTTGTTCTAAAATGTAGAATGGAAAATCAAAAAATCATGAACCATTTTTAAAATTCTGCTGATGAATTAGTATAAGACTGGGGTTTTTGTTACTGTGAATAATGTCCTTGTTCAGAGTACAGGTCTTACTTGAGTCGTGACTTGAGTTATTGAATTACCTTATTGTATTTTCAAAAGAATAACTATACTTTACATGGCTACATCACACTCAGCTGTGTTGATTGGATAACAGGACAGCATCTGTCATTTTTGTAAATTCTTTAAAAACAATACATGTTTACATATTAATGCAAGTTACCTTACTTTTATGGAATAGTTTTACTTTTATCCATGACGACAATAGTTCCATCAGGAGACTTATTTTGCTTAGAGAAAGATTTGTATTGACGTGTGCACGAGATGATAGAAATGTGAAGAGTCTTTGGCGATAAGACCCCGATTGTCTTATCATATATCTTAAGGGGGAAGTGCATCCGTAAGTAGAATAAGATGTTGATGGGATTGGATTTGAAGAGGAGATGGGAAGAGGATGCTGAAGATCTGGATTTGACAAGGAGTTCTGATACGGAGGGTGGAGGTGGATGGGAGGAGGGGAGCCGCAGCCTTAGCGCCTGAAATGACAGGAGAACAGATTTAAAGTTCGATAGCAGCGTGATGATTGGCTGTTGGAGATTGTGGCGAACTGTAGTTGGTTAAGAGTGGACGCCTGTAATCAGCTGATTAGATCCAACTGAGGAGTGAGTGAATGTTCTTCCTGACTGAACTTACACTTTAGCTTTATTAAAAAAAGACTGTTATATAACCTGATCAAAACCGCCTAACCTTGACAGCGTAAATCAAAACCAAGATCTTTCCCAAGAGTAACGCAAAGGTGTTCAGAAAGGTGTTCAGATCCATCCCAGTGCCTTCATTAAAGGCAGATCATCCCAGTGACTGGAACCAGCTATTTTACGAAAGGGGCTCATTCAATGCGAGACAAAAGAGACATTTATAGTTCATGAAAAAGCCATAGCGCACAAAGATAACATAAAAGATAGGGATTTGTTTCAGTTACTGAAGTTGTATCAGTGATTTATAGTCAAACTTTTTATTTAATTACAATTTAAAAAAAACAAACACATTCCCAAAACTCCGGCTTTAGTTTTAACACATTCTTTGCTGCAACACACAAATGGTGTTATCATAGACTCTTCTTTCGGGGGGGGGGGGCAAGCTCAGTGTTATAACTGTGCTGCACATTGCAGTGACAGTATGAACTTCCATTCAAAACCCTAACATTTAGTGTAATAAACATATAGTGTGAGACTAGAGCCAGTATTTAAGACTCATTGAAGTTTGCCGTTAAACAAGATAATGCTTTCCTAGAACTCCACGGGGGATTTTAAACTTAAAGGGAAAATGCACGTGTGGATATTTATTTAAATATCGGGAGATATTGTAACCCACAGCTGAAGACTGTGGCTGCTTGGTAATGAATCAGTGGCCCACAGCAGCATGGCTCAGACATAATCCCGCTCTGTTATGTCATCTCTACAAGCCAGTGCTCCACAGTGAGAGGAGTGTGTGGATCAGATGAGGGGGGCGGGGGTTTAGTGTAACGTCAAAAAAACGTGGAGGATGAGCCTTACCTCCAAATCCTGGGCGCATTGTAAAGTCGTGTTCCTGTATCCTCAGCAGGTGCTCTGACTTCGTACCCCAGGCTTTAGTTTTATCTGAACTCCTCTTAGTCATGGGGCTAATTTAACATTTTGGGGAAAAAACCAATTCAAAAGTTAATTTCTAATATTAGATTCTGGGTCACACAGAAAGATCTATTCTGTTTACATGTTGCACAACACATGTCAATCCCAATGTCTACCAAGTTTGTTCTTTCGTTTCTCTTGCAACGAAGGACATTTGTTATGCTGTTTCACTATGTCTTTGTTGAATATTGCACATAGTGTTGCACATAGTGTACAGTAGATGCTCATTGGTAAAACACATCAGCCCAATGCAAGCACTCAAAACTGAAGTCCAATTACTTACCTACATCCACCCAAAAAAATATTGACATGGAAAATATGCCTATAAGGATGGGCACGTCCTTTATAAAATGTTATAAAATAATTAAGTCCTCAGTGTCAGAGGCATGTGACCATCATGTCTGTAAACTGAGAGGGAACCAGAAGCATTTCCATCAGATTGACTCTGTCTGTGTTACTACTACTCGGTTGAGAAGAGAGGGCCACATCAGTACAGAAAACAAAACCAAAAAATGAAACCTAACTGTTGACAGTGGTACAAATTCATGTCACCATTCCTTCCATTATCTGCACATCAAATCAATCAAATTTGAAAATTATAGCAGTAACTTTAACCAGCTGTTGATAATCCAGCCTTGGGAACGCTGGTGTAACAAAGTGAAAACTAACTGTAATTGTCAGGTAATATTGCTTTCAAGCTTTTTTCCAAACAGCTGTGCTATTTAACTTAATAATGAAGCCTCTTTGAATTTGAACATCAAAGGGTTACTGTGACAGTGTTCCATTTTCTGCTCTTTAGCTCGCTGTCATCGTATTAAGTTTATGAAGCAAAGTCGCATAATCTTATGAATTTCCTAACTTTGTGGGATAAGAATGGATTATATTGAGCTTAGTAAAATACATGGAAGCGACCCATGCTTCTCACTAGACCCTGCAGACAATAGTGTGATTAAATTGTTGACCATGTGCCACTAAGTCCTTGCTGCTTAAATCTCCAAAATGTGATCTTGCTTTCTAGCCCCTGTTATATGTCTAATTGGGCTAAATAAATAAAATAATAAAGAAATGCGTCATACCTTACAATCTTTCTGCTGGATCCTTCTGTTACTGGAATTTCTCTTCTACATCTGAAAGGGGGGAAACATTTTATGATTTTATGCAAGCTTTATGCAATGTTTAGAAGCACTTTTTGGGTGATTCTTGATTGAAATCCTAAAGTAAGAGGGACCTGTTGACAAAGAGAATAGAGTTGTTTCTGTTTCTGTGACATTAATCATTCTTATTCATTTCACTTATTCATTTACAGGAGGGAACATTTAATCAAATAAAGTGAATTTGCGCTATGTGTCTGTTATGAACACCTAAAGTTGCAGGGATAAGGAAACCAGATCATTGACTCCCTCCCAGATGTCTTTGGGTTATTAGATAACACAATAAGCCTCAGTGTCTCCATTTTAAAACCACACTGGAGCATCATGAGATGCTGAGTCATCCGCTGGCTTGCGGAGTAACCAATTACATAATCAGGATACCAAAAAAGGTACAAATTTCACACAACTGTTTTAGGTTAATTAAAGTCAACGGTTCAGTTTTTTCAGTGTGTTCTGTAGGATAATACTTTAAGTGTGAATCTATACGCCTACTGCCTGAATCTGCTTTATGGTTTTCACTTTCTTTGCTTCATTTATTCTTTTTTAATTCAGTAGGTGAACCTATATGTTCATAAAATAGTGTGTGTGAGCTTAATGAATTCAACTTAAACAGAGCATTTTCTGTCAGCTCAGATTTTTCTTTTTAAACTGTAGTATCTAAACTGTAGTAAATAAAAATGGATTGTGTCACGATCGGTCTGTGTTTTATTTTGTATTGTCAAGATCTGTCTTTGTTTTCCCGTTTTACTTTGAAAGGTGTTCACCCCCTGTCTCATGTCTGCATTTGCTTCCTGTCTGTTTTCCCTCCTGTGTGATTGTCTCAGGGAAGGTTTCTCATTTCACTTATTTCCCCTCCTCGACTCCTCGGTCCTCCGGTAGTGACCCGGAAATGGATTTCAGCGAGCCATGTTGAAGGACATCTAATTTCTCTAAATGCACATCGAGGACCGAGCATCGAGCATCGAGGAGGCTCTCTGGAGGAGCTATAACCGAGGATACACTGATGGATCCTCCGCGGCTCCTCCGCGGATGTTTTTCCGGCAACAGAGATGTTTAAAAGAGTCGTGACGCACGGCCGGACTTATCTCAGCCAATGACAGCTCTGCATGCATCCCCTGTATATTATTTTATTAACTGCTTTCATCGCGACGCGATGTTTACAGTGAGAACAGCTGTGAGGTCCGTGCAGAAAGCAGAGCAGTGTGTATAATATATATCACTCAGTATAACAGGCCTACTCTCTTTATTTGCTTTAGTTTAGTAGATATCTACAAACAAAGAGTCGATATTTTTCTAAAACCATTTAGTGCTTCACATAATAAAATACACAATGGCTGTAGCCTGATATATATGATATGCTTTAAGAGCTGTAGGTGTGTGTGGTACAGTGTGTAGGTGCGTGTGGTACTATGGCAAGCCATTTGAGTATTTATTCCATATCCTTGATATCAGACGGCAGCTGCCTGCACTAGTTGGCTCTTTGATTTCACTTGTTAGATATATGGTCACACTAGTTTGGCACTCTGCTTTACTAGTTAAATAAAACATTACACTAGACACTCTTTTTCAGCAACTAGTGGCACTTTTGTCCGACTAGTTAGCACATAAGCCTTACTAGTTACGCCAGGAGCACCACTTGTAGCACCAAAGTCCCAACTTGTAAGCTTTTTGATGAACTAGTGGCCCTCTGACCGTACTAGTGACGCTAAAAGTCTTACAAGTTAATTAGTGCGCTGCAAAAGCTCTGACATGTTAACTAGTTACACAAAAGAAGCACAACTAGTTAACTAGTGGCATACATTTGTCTGCACTAGTTAACTAGTAGCACCCAGAATCACTCACTAGTTAACTAGTAAAGGCAAAATGTTCACTAGTTAACTAGTTGATGCCTCTTTTGACCTTACTAGTTAACTAGTGGGGCTCAAAATGTCTACACGTTAACTAGTGAACCCTTGAGTGAGATACATTTAAATTCAACTAGTGAACTAGTGAGGCTTAAAAGGTTCACTAGTAGTACTAGTTGGTCCCAAATGTGCACTCGTCACACTAGTTGCACAGCATGCTAATGAGGAGGAGGGGAAATAATGCATCGAGGTCTCCTATTGGCCCTAAGCTATAGAGCGCCACCCAGCCCAATTAGTTTCTTTAAGAGCTTAAATACAGTGTTTTAAAATACAGTCATATGACCATATTTACAAAAATATAAAACAAAAGTATTGTTGTAATTATGATCATATGACTGTATATCAAATTAGGTAAGAACATTGAAGACTTTGTTAAAATTTGAAAGTTGCTTTAGGACTGCAGACAGGAATATAGATCCTCTTTAAAACATTTTATTAAACTGCAATTTGAAAGGTGCTTGGATTAGAATAGCACTAATAACAGAGGGACATTAGTAGGGATGTAACGACACCAAAAACTCACGGTACGATAATATCGCGATAAAAAGCCCACGGTACGATATTTATCGCGATATTGAAAAATAAAGAAGAAAACAAATTGTGAAATATTCTTTTTTTATACATTTTTTTTTTTAAATAAAGGTTTTTAAAAAAAAAGTGTTTAAAAAAGCTTTTTTATAAAAAAAATTAAAAATCGCGGTAGATTTTGTCAGTCTCACGACGGTATTGAGATATTTATTTACCGCGATATCGCGATATTTGATATATCATTACATCCCTAGATATTAGTGATGGATAGAAAGAGAGGAAGTAACCCTCTTCGGATCACAGCTTTCCTCAGAGGCTGAGAAATCGCCGTGACTTCCATAAATATTAGGAGACAAATATGGAGAGGTTGTTTATCTTCATGCGGATCTATCGTTAACCTGATTTTAAGATCTGTCCAGTGTTTCTGCTTTATTCATTTCATGAGCACCGACTGACCAATCAGAATCTGGGTCCCGCCTGTTTCATTTGCATATGGCTGACTAGTGAACGTGTTGGCCATATGAACGGCAACTAGTTAACTAGTGGATACATATTGCAGCTTACACGTTAACTAGTGAAGGCAAAATGTTCACTAGTTAACTAGTTGAAGCCTCTTTTGGTCTTACAAGCTGACTATTGAGGCTCAAAATGTGCACTAGTTAACTAGTGAGGTCCAAATTGTCCACTAGATACACTAGTACAATTGTTTTTACCTTACTAGCTAACTAGTTACACACACTTTATCTCACTAGTTAACTAGTGAAGCCTTAGAGATTACAGATGTTTTTCTTACTAGTTAACTAGTGGAGGGCATTTTTTGCACAGGACATGATCAGCATAGACTCTCCCAGAAAAGAAAGGGAGAAAAAGCTAAACACCCCAACAAAGGCTGCAAATACTTATTGAAATATTTATGACAACCATCTCATCTCTACTACTACAAGACAGAGACACCCACAACATTACAGCCCAAAATAAAAACATTCAACTTAAACTCAGAGTAGTGTTGGGTTGTTGTCTTGTATTCACCATGATGTGTGAGAAGAGTCATGAGGGCCGATTACTGTGAAACTCTTTTCCCAGTTCAGTGGCAGTGCTTTTACTTAATTCATCAGCTTGGACGCAGTGAAACCGAGAAATGATTAATCATGTGATTGAGGTCAAATGGCTGATGAGCTGTCAGAGCACCGTCTGGCTGGCATCAACGCCTTTAACCCTGGAGCCAAGTTTATACGAGGACACTGAGTTTACCATCAGACTGCAGGACAGCAAACATTGAAATGGACAAGTCATACCAGGGAACACAAGAAGAGTGGTTGTTGTAGAAATGTCTTACACAGTGTGATGGAAACTTCTGAAGCAATGGAGACAGGACTCAGAGAGACAAGGGGAGAGCAGGAACTTTGATGGCAAACACTGAAAGTTTATTTGGAGCTTCGGCCGGAGAATTCACAAGACATGTGCTGTGCCACGAGGTGTCACAGCGGTTGCCAAACCAATTCTGAAGATCTCTACCCCAGACCCATGTATTTAGCTGGTTCTGAGAGAATAATCAACATTGTGCATAACAAGATAAAACAGGCAAAGCACTATAACACCTCTATCAGCTGACGCCAACAGGCAGGAACAGGGAGAAAACACACTTACGCAGCGTCCACACGGCGGCATGCGTTGAAGCTTGACGGCGGGCGTGTCTGAAGCTCGACCAACAACCAATCACATGAATCTCCCGCCCCGGACACACAAGCACGCAGTTTGATTGACTAGAGCTTGTACTGGCATATGATTTGATTGGCTGACGCTTCCACCGAAGCTTCAAAAGTTGAACATTGCTCAACTTTTGAAGCGAGCAACGCGAGCAAAGCTCCCACAATTCAGTTCGGCAAAGCGTGACGTCACCCCATTCAAAGTGAATGGGCAGAAGCAATGAAGCTTCAACGCACGCCGCCGTGTGGACGGGCCGTTAGAGCACATCAGCCAAGGCTACAGGTGCCTGAGCTCAGTGAGGTCAGTACAAATTGATAAACTGGGTCAAAGATGTGGGCCTAGGAAAATATTTCCCCAACACATCAGTGGAGTTTATCAGTTGTCAGTCAAATACAGTGTCAAAGTGTCAAGTGTTTAAACATCCTAAACCAGTTGGACGGCTCAAAAAAATGGTACAGTCATGAAATGTGATGTCCTGGGGTTGGAGCTCTTTTCTTTTCCGCTTTCCAACCACTCTCATTTAATTGATCAGAATCAGAATCAGAAAACCTTTATTCCTTTATGTTCCTCATTGTACATTATTCGTCTTTCCAGACAGGGTAACAAGGTAGGTACGCTATTTGGTAAATTCATCAGAATTGGATACATTTTGCCTGATAATAATTGGAAAGCTGCATGATTGTATTATTTTATCCTCAATTGCAAGCCAAACTATAATTAACCCTTTGGCTTCTTTACTGTTCAATCCTCCTAGGAGAAAACTCTTAAAACAGTCAATTCTGCATTATTATTATTATCTTTTTTTTTTTAAATAAATATATATATTG